CCAATGAGAGCAAGTTCATTTTCAAATTCTTCATCTAATTCATCATCAGAATCAAAATAATAGTCTTGAGCTTTAGATTTAAAAGCGATATTCTTGCGTCTTCTATTATCATCCTTATTCATTTGATTGATAACTTCTTCATGACTTAAGAGAGATCCAATAAGTTTTTCTACAGATAGAGTAGTTAAGTCACGAGCTTCTTCTATTGCAGTTCGTTTAGGCATCCATTCACGAGGTAGAGACCTAAGTATTTTCCTAACAAGTTCTTTACTTGTAAACTGCCTACCTAGTCCTTTCATTCTATTTATGAGATCATTGAATCGTTTATACATTTCAGAGATTTGTTCTCCAGAAAACATTTCAAAACTTTCATATTCGTTTAATAGAACATCAATTCGAGTTTCCCTTACCTCTGATGTACCTTCGTGCGTGACTTGCAGAGCTTCCCAAATCTCTTTAGCTGATTCGCACCTGGCTACTTGGCTTCGTTCGTCAGGGCTAAGTGCTGAGAAGAGGATGTGCATGGCTCTGGAATCGAGTTGAGCAGAAGTATTTTGTTCATCATTCCAGCTTGCTTCATCATCTTCGTTCATTTCAATGGGCCCTTCTCGCACGATTTTCCAGAGATCATTGTCGACACCTCGAACCATGGCGGATTTGTATTTCCTGAATACCCAGCGGAAGATGTAGAACCAGCCATAGCACCTTGAGGACGTTAATCCAGTTACCAAGGAACCGGCTCTGATACCAATTGAGATTCTAGGCTGGATGGAGATGTTTTTAGGTTTTGTTTTTTTTGGAGAATAACACAGCGAAGGAACTGAAAGAAGGTGTTTTAATTAAGACACTGAAGCTTTTCTGCAGTCATCATGACTACTTTTTAGAAATGGGAAGACAAGCAAAATACAGGTGAAAGAAAGAAAGGGAAAACACAGATGGAAGATCGGTGAACAGAGAACCGAACAATCTTCCCACTCCTATCTACCCAGAAGCACTCTCTATAGATGAGGAGACTGAAGATTGTTCAAAACAACCCGAACCCTTGAAAACTAAAAGATCTACTATTCAAGCTGCAACCGTTGCTCTTCTTCATATGGAGATGGCCTTTAAATAGGCAAAAAACTTCAGGACCGTTGAAGAAGATCCGTTGATGTAGCCATGCTTTTGAGAAGCACAAGGTTTGTAGGGATCCTGGTGCTTGGAGAAAGCGGTTCTCCCTTTTGCTTTTGGGTGTTGAGGAAGAAGATGAAGGATAAGGCTGATAGAACCGAAGCCAATCCAAGGTTCGTAGAGATAAGCATCACTGATGAGTTGAGAGCGGCGTCGTATGGTTGTTGTGGCAGCGGCGTCGTTTGAGACTTTGGTGGTATCTGCGTCCTCCAGTGGCAGCGGCGTCGTTTTGGTCGAGACGCGTCGTTTTTGGCTGAGGCTTCATCTCACAAAGAAGCCGTTTGTTTAATGGAGTCCCATAGTGTCCTCTAGGGTATGGAAAGAGCCAACACGGTAGTCGTGTGTGGGCGACGCCTGAGAGCATCGGCATCTTGATTTTTTGGGCCAGGCTTGTAAATAATTTCATAATCATATCCCAATAATTTAGAGATCCAATGTTGTTGTTCAAGAGTAGTAATCCGCTGGCCCAAAAGATGCTTCAGGCTTTTCTGATATGTGAGAATTATGAACTTGCGACCCAAGAGATGGGGACGCCAGTTCTGAACGGCTGTAACCACGGCCAGCATCTCTCTTGCATATGTTGAGTGGCCCTTCCTAGATTTACCAAGAGCTCGGCTAAGAAACGAGATCGGTTTGTCATTTGCATAAGCACCGCGCCGATGCCCCACCCGAAGGCGTCAGTCTCAACGACAAAGGGTTGTGTGAAATCCGGAAGAGCTAGGACAGGTGTGGTTGTCATAGCCGTTTTCAAGGCCTGGAATGTCGAGTCGGCATCGGTCGTCCAGCTGAATTGCCCTTTTTTCAGGATATCGGTGAGCGGGCGGGCAATGATTCCATAGTTGTGAACAAACTTGTGGTAGTACCCCGTGAGTCCTAAGAACCCACGTAGTTCGTTGATGGATGCTGGGGTTGGCCAATCGATCATAGCGACGATCTTGCAAGGATCTACGTGAACGCCGACAGATGAAATAAAGTGACCCAAATACTCTATCTCCTTCATGCCAAAAACACATTTGCTGAACTTAACAAAAAATTGATGATGGCGCAAGGTTTGGAAAACCTGCCGCACGTGTTTGAGATGTAGTTCCTTGTCCGGACTTTAAATTAATATGTCGTCAAAGAATACCAGCAGGAACTTGCGAAGCAATGGCCGAAATATTTCATTCATGATGGCCTGAAAAGTGGAAGGTGCATTATATAGGTCGAAGGGCATTACGAGGTACGCGTAATGGTCGTTATGAGTCTGGAAAGCTGTTTTGGCCACGTCGGCGGGATGCATACGAACTTGGTGATAGCCTGCACGGAGGTCGAGCCTGGTGAAGTACGCTGCACCATGGAGTTTGTCTAACATATCGTCGATTGTTGGGATGGGTTCCTTGACAGTAACAAGGTTCAATGCCCTCTATTCAGTGCAAAAACGCCACGTGCCATCTTTCTTTTTCACGAGGAGGAAGGACTGGTGCTAGATTGAATTAACCCGGCAGTGAGCATTTTGTTGACCTGAGCTTCTATTTCAGCCTTCTGAAAGTGCTCGTATCGATACGGTCGCACATTGACAGCCTCGGCGTCGGCTTTCAATTCTATCTTGTGTGCAATCGCACGTTGTGGTGGTAGTTGATCTGACTCCTCAAATAAATCGCCGGCTTCGCGGATGAGAGCGTGGGGTTCCGGCGGAACTTGTCGTAGGGAGTCTTCTATTACTTTGGGAATGCATATGTCAATTATTTGGGTGTCATCCTCGGTAATGCAATTGAGGTGTGCTTCAGTGGGAGCATCTGAATTAATTCCACGAAGCCTGTGTAATTTCCCTCTCCAAAAGAACTCCATCTCCAACGAGCGCCAGTTGTTTTGAATTGTTCCCAAGGTAGCCAACCATTGCACACCCAACACAATATCGAAGCAAGACAAATTAATCGCATGGAGGTTTACCCGAAAAAGGGCGTCATGTATAACCAGCAGAACTTGCTTGATCATTCCCAGGCATTCCAAGGGACTTCCATCATCAATTTTGACCTGTAGAGCTGAAATCGGCAAGATAGGAAGATGGACAAGTTCGGCCGCCTGATTCCTGATGAAGTTGTGGGTCGACCCACCGTCAATTAAAACCATCACCCGAGTCTAGCCCACTGTGGCCCATAATCGCAACGTCTTCCCGTTAGCCAAACCTGCCATCGCATGGACTGAGACCTCAAACTCGTCAAACTCATCCTCTTCAGAGTCAACTGACATTTGACCGGATGAAAAGTTAACGGTTTGGCTATTATATTGTTTTTGAAAAGGTCTGGCTATTATTTTGTTTAAATTCAAAGATTTGGCTATTAAATTGTATTTATCTTATAAATTATCTTCAATCATATAGATTAAAACATAGTTTGCACATAAACAAAATCAAATCAAAACTCCGTGTGAATAACTCAATCTTTAAATCTCCAATTTTTAGATAATTGTTAGCTCCAATGTGTGACGACTCTTATTCTCTCATAATACCACTATGCCAATTTATTGGAGTTAGTATATAATTATACTCAAACATGGTTCAAAATCGCTCGAATTTACCATCCCATTAACCTTCAGTCCTCGGCTATCCATGATCACTTGACCGACTTTAAGGATACAAATTTGAATGATTAACTAGTACTTGATTGAATATATTGGCAATAAGTCTTTGGTAGATTAGATGAATAATGCATATTTTTAAAGTTTTATTAGAGTATAATAGATTATATGAATAGTTGCAATTAAAAAGATTTAAGTGGTCAGTATGCAACGAAAGCAATACTGATATATGGTATGTGGTGCATTTAACTCTAATGCTGTGTTTGGGAAGAGGGGGGACGTAGGAGGGGGGTTAAAAGCTAGGGTAAATAGCAAAACCGAGGCAAATGCTCTCGTTTGGTTATTTTGTAACGGTGGCAGGGGGCATAAAGGAGGTGCAAGCTTCCTCTGGTGGCTTCCCCCAAATTGGGATGTAAATGGTGGTGGAGAAAGAGAGAGAAGGGAAGAAACGTTGGCGGAGGAAGAAAGAGAAGGGAGGTGGGGCCAGGGAAGAGAGGAAAGGGAAGAAATTGGTGGTGTTAGTTTGATTTTTTAATATTAATTAATATTATATAATTAACACCTCGATTTTATATATTTTATATTTCAATTTGCACCTTCCTACTTTTTTTCTTAAACAACAATTTACACCTCGATTTGTACCCTCCTTAAATTTACTCTCATACAATTTGCATCTCGATTCGCACCTTTCTCGAATTTGCAATCCCCTTGTTGCCAAACAGAGCGTAAACCTTTTCACATAAGAGCAAGTAAAGTAACCCTTCAAATTCCAAACGCGTATATAATGCAATGCTCTAATCTATGCTATTCCAAGTAATATTTAAAAATGAGACAATTTTAATCCATTTTTTTAAGATTATCTCATCCTACAATTGATACATCATTTCAAAATACGTAATTCTGTCAATTCGAATTAATACAAAACAAAACAATTCAAATTGCCTCAGCTCAATTGCTTAGATTTGTACCTATATGATCATACTCTTTTGTAAAATACCTTTATGGTACAAATTAAAGTTGTACCTTTATGTTATGGTATAACTTGAAGTTGTATCATATTGTTAAAAGTACAAATCGAAGTTATACCATAAGAAAATTTGATCTTTATGTTATGGTACAACTTCAAGTTGTACCATAACATAAATGTACAACTTTTATTTGTACCATAAAGGTATTTTACAAAATAATATGACTGTATAGGTACAAATCGAAGTTATACCATAAAAAAACAAAAGCACCTATAAAATTCCCAGTTGTCTACTATCCAATACCACGGCCCATGGGAAAAAATCCCAAAATACACTAGTTATTAAAGAAATTTTCCAAAATACAGTAGTTATGAAAATATTTCCCAAAATACAGCTGTTTGAGCATTATCGTCATCGACTAAGACAGTGATGACATTCACCGTCGTCCTCAATGACAGTGAAAATTATCATCGTTGCAAAGAAAAACGGTGAAGGTATCACTGTCTTAGAGAAAAGCGGTGAACCTATCACCGCATAGGAGAAAGACGGGGAACATATAACCGGCTACGTGTACAACGGTGAAATGTCGGATCTGGAAAGAAAACCAGAATCCGTGTTTCACTGCATCGGACGGCTATGGTGATAGGGTGGGGGACGCGGATCGCTGACGTGGACGTGCGGGGTATTCACTCTTATAGGGTAAAGCAGGGAATTCACTGCGTTCCACGTCAGCAACCTCGTCACTCGCGCCCTTCACCGTACCATCTGATGCGGTGAGGTGCGAATTCTAGGTTTATTCCCAGATCCGACACCTCAAAGGGAGCCACGTCAACGATCCTCATCATTCACCGTCTTTGTGAAAATCGGTCTCTTCACCATTTTCAACGAGAGAGGTGAATGCTCTGTGTAGAAATTCCAGTGCCTCCTCCCTATAAATGCCACTCCTTTCCCCTCATTCCAAACCACACCACCACTTTTATACTTCTTTCTCCCTCCATTACTTCACTCTAGTCTCGTTCTAAGTATGCTCTATGGTTGCTGCTAAGTCAGATCTTCCACATCATAAAGAATTACTAGAGTTTTTTTTTTTTTTCAATCCTTCGCTCTAAATTTCCGTCAATACTCTCTCCACCTTTTCAGAAAAAAAAATGCACGAAGAGGCTCTGAGAGTATGTAATTATTTTTTTCTTTTGTGATATTTTTTTAAATGGGTTTGAAATAATCTGATTTCATTTCACATTTGTTTACAGATGGGTGCTGAGATATATGACCCTCGATTGTATATCGATCCTTGCCCAAGGGAACGAAGATATTTAAGCGAGCAAGAACAACATTGCTCCCGTGCAATTTGGGACAATAATCCGTTAGACACTCCGTACCGTATAAATTTGTAAATTATTACATAGTTTAAAAAAAATAATTTTGCTTTTATACTCACAACATTGTATTTTTTGTTCTGTTTTTTATTATGTAGGAATCACTTATTCCCATCAATCATCGTGGGACAACACGAATACCTTTTTGGCATCCTCGACTGGAGCCCTATCTAGAGAGGACGGGATTGCACATGCTGAGGCACTTCATGAGGCTTGATTTCGACAACAATCTGCTGACGGCAATGGCAGAGCGACGGCTCCCCAAGTTGCATACCTTCCAATTTCTCGAGTGGGAAATGACGATCACCCTCAGAGACGTTACCATCCTCACCGGGCTGCCGGTCACTGGAGTGGCCATCATCGGCAACTCGAGTAAACCCGAAGGTGGCTGGGGGCCGTTGATTCTTGATCCTTTGGGATTCGACATGCTGACCACAACGCCCGTCCAAGGGGTTGGGCATCCACCACTCAATACGGGGCAAGTATCGATCCCATGGCTTGTTGAACACATCCAATTGGAGGTTAATTTAGGGCCAGACACCCCCGAAGATCAGGTGGAGCGATATGCACGTGTCTACCTTATTGGGTTGGTTGGTGGATTGTTGTTCCCCGACAAGGCAAACCGGTGAATACAAGGCATGTGGTTGTCGCTGCTCCTCGGTGACTAGGACGAGATCGAGAGAAAGAGTTGGGGGTTGGCCATATTGGCTGGGATCTACCGAGAGCTGTGCACTTGCTCGAGGTTGGGAGTGAAACAAGATGGAGGTGCGATGTATATACTCCAACTCTGGGCATGGTAGCATCTTCCAATGTTCGCACCCCGAGACCTGTGGGCATTCTGGGGTCCAAATGAGGAGCTACGCGATCTAGCAAATTCCCCCTATGGCATCAAGTAAGTTTCATTTACATGCTAATTTTATTCCAAGTGTTCAATTTTAGTAAATTTAGATACATTCCAAATATGCAATTTAGTGAATTTAGATTCATTCCAAGTATGCAATTTTAGTGAAGTTAGATGCTTCCATAGAATCGAATTTTAGTGAATTTAGATATATTCCATGTAAGCAAATTTAGTGAATTTAGCCACTTTCAAAGTATCCAATTTTTAGTCAATTTAGATTTAGTACTTAAATTTATTAAGGAAGTGTTTAGGAAATTCTCACATGCATAGCATAGCATCTATTCTTTAAAAATAACTTATATACGTACTTTTTCTTAATAAGGTGGATCGGAGCAAATACAAAGGACCACCTGCCTGAGCACTCTTTACTATTTTATCGTGCTGGGTTTGATAAGCATTGGTGGAACCAAGTAAAAATGTCAAATTGGATCATTTTATATTTTTTAAATGGATTGGATACAATTTGTACTAATTCCAAATCATTAATGAGTGTAAGTGACATGGGATCCATATCCACCTGAAGTGGTCGAGATTCATCGTCTTAGACACCCCGAGGATAAAAAGACGTGGTTGTGCAAGGTGCCCTTAATCTGTTGGCACATGGTGGAGTGGCACCTGCCGGATCGAGCCTTGAGGCAATATCAGATGGAGCAACCAATTCCAGCATCCCCACCTCAAGGATTCAGGGAGCTCTGTGCCATCGACCTACGCTACAAATCAAAGAATTGGATCCGCAAACATGAGTTCTAAATCAACATTTGGGAGAATAGAGCGACTTGGGTTGTCCAAGGGTTACCGAAGACGAGGACAACGGGGTACCACAATGCGTACATGGTGTGGTATCAGAAATTCACACTTAGATAGTTGTCAAAAGCAAGGTGCTATGTGAGGAGCGGTGGTAAGTGATTCCAATTCTTACTCTTCGTCATATTCTTATTCTTTTGTCCCTAGATTACATGCTTAGATTTGAGTGATGACAGTTAAGTTGATTAGATTCATTTTATTGCATTTTACAACTTGTTAGTATTAGGTTGATGGCTTGGAACATGCCAAGCACACTGTCGATAGTGCACCCACCATGGACGAGCGGAAGACATCTTTCCTACAGAGGCTTTTCAACAACCTTCTTAGCTATACTCGAGAGCAAAGGAGGGATGTCATCGTATTCCCTCCAGTGCCTGCTCCGGCTCGACCTTCCTTCTGTGATGATGAGCCCATTGTGCCCTCAGCTGAGCCCCCACGGAGGAGTAAGAAAAGAGCCCAGCCAAACATTGAAAAGATTCGTCCGACTCAGCAAACACAACTGCATGACCCATGTCCAGATCATGAGTGGTCAACTGCAATGGAGGGCGCTCCAGGGTCGTCAAGCTACGCCCCACAACAGGAATATGACATGTTTCCTCAAGGGTTCCCTCAATTCCACCATCAGCAACAGACTTCAATTTATCATACACCGCCTCAACAGCCCACAGCTTCTGCCTACTACCACTCTTATCGATCATCTCAGCCACCTCCACCTCCACCGCCTAGCTATACTGCGGTTGAACGTTGGGTTAAAAGGAATCCACGAGCAGTCGTCCAACAAGCTCGTGAAGAAGGAGGCGGAAGAAGGGGTCGAGACGCCGTGAAGGACGAGGACGAGGGAGAGAAAATGAAGGAAACCAGTGAACTATCCATTTTATCTTTGTTTATTTATGTCTTGTGTGTTTTCATTAAACTATTCATGTCGTCTTATTCTTTATTATTTTTTTCATGAACTATCATTGTAAAGTTATATCATGTGTGTTTTCGTTAAAATTTCCATGTCGTGTAGTTTTCTCTAGATGTATTGATAATGTTTTTCCATTGAAAACTAGAAGTTTGGTCTTGTGTTTTAGTTTAACATCCATGTTGTACCAAATCAAAGCACAAATCCATCATCATTACAATCACTCAACAAGATTAATACTAGAAGTCCAACTTAAACACCATTACTACTAAATGACAATTAAATACAACAAACTCAAGGTTGGTTCGGATTTGTGCCTGAATCTTGCTCGAGAGGTGGACCTGGGCAACGCCTCTTGTCATGTCCCGGTTTTCTGCACTTCGAGCAACGCTTAGGACCTCTCCTGGCACATTGTGATTGATCCATCTCATTGTGAATCCTTTCGGTTCTAGGACGACCTTTGGTGCACTTTAAGTGCAACGGTGGGATAATCAACTTCCCACTGTCTACAGGCCAATAAGCTTCATCTGGCAGGGGGATGAAACTGGACGAGTACGAGGGTTATTGACTTAGATACTGCCATTGCATGTGAACATGGGATTCTTGTGTTTTGATACTTTTGGCATGTACACTCCCCGGTGAGAGTTTCTACGTGTAGAGTAACGGATTGACGATTGTGCCCATGTCTACCTCCACCCCAAATACCTGTTTGCACAGCAAAAAGACATTCATTGCGGTGAAAAGAAAAACTATGTGCTTACTATATTTATCTTCCTTCTTCTGCATGTCCAGAAAGACATGAAGTGCTATTGCATGACCAACACGCTCCCTCCCTATAGCTTGCTGAAGTCTCTTCACAAACAACCCGTTTACCTTCCAGTGCGTCATTTCCAGTAGGACAGATACAGGCATTGCCCTAACGCCCTTGTATACTCCATTTATGCTCTCGCCATGGTTGGTAGTTGCAATGCCGAATCTAGCCCCATTGTCCATGTGGAATGTCCACATGTGCAGATCTTGACCTTCTGCCCATACTGCACCCGCCCGGTGTATCTGACGGATCGTCTTCATCTTCTGCTCGTACTTTTTTGGTTGATGTGCAACCGCTTCAAGACCGCAGAATAGATATTAAGACATGAGAAATTTCATATGAACAATAAACCATGAATAAGCACAGAATTATATTAGTACCTGCACTCCACAATTGATCTCTTATGTCTTTCTTCTTCCCAAATTTGTGTTGGAAATTTGCAAAAAAGTGTCGAATACACTAGCGCCATGTCCACCCCCATTTGTCGGGAAAACCATTCACGTCGTGCTTAATCCCGACATGTCGATTGAATATAATTGTAATACCCATTCTTTGTGTGACGTGGTCGTGTAGCTGGTCAAAGAACCATGCCAACTTAAGTTGTTCTCCCCTTCAACTAATGCAAATGCCAGGGGGAAAAGAATTTAAGTTAGTATAAATATTACATAGTAAAACAATGAACTAGTACAATAGTGTTCAGACCGTAATATACCTGGATAACTGGCATGTAGAAGGCAAACCCGTCAATGCATGGCTTGAAGGTCTAGAACAGACGATGAAACATCAACTCATTTTGTACTCGAACTTGATCCTCAGTGTATACATTGTTGTAACATGGCAGGATAACAGTCCCAGGGTTGGACTCCTCCATTGCGGCCATTAATCTAGGGAGTAAAGCATACGAGTCGTCCCAATCACCATAGACCTCAGCCATGGCCTTCTGCTTCCTATGACACGCTTTCTTATACCTGATCGTGTAGGATTGTCGATCCTTCACCTTGGCCATGATAGCTTTGATTTTGATATTTGGTTGTGCCTCGATCAAGTGTTTAATGGCTCTTTCCACTTTCTTTGCTTTCAGTTGCCGGTGATCCTAGGAAATTATGTTTGAGGAGCAGCTGTGGTTGTTCTCTACTGTCCGAATGACCCAGGCACCCTTTCTCTTCATATTTGCATCCCGTAGTTGCCACATACAACCCTCTCCAGCATTCTTCCAAATGAAATGCAGTTGTTTGGTGTTAGAATAGTTTACCTTCCATTCAAAATTGCGCTGCATGGCTTCTTTGGTAAAAGCATCTTGAACATCGACTTTCTAAGTGAACACCATACCCACCTCCAAATTGGCAATCGGATTATACACAGGCATAGGGCAAAAGTCAGGGGCATCGTTCTGACTATATAAAAATTGAGATGGAACCTCTGTGTAGTAAAGCGTTGGTGCCTCACGGAACGCCACCTCGATGTCCTCGATACCGTTCGTATCTTCCTCCTCACTAACTAATCTCCAATATTCATCACTTTCCTCATCGTTGGAGGCGAATGGATAGCTCAGCTCAGGAGGATCATAGTTACCAGCATAACCAACATCGTCTTCTCGGTCATGCGAAGTACGCCCAGTTCGAAGGGTGTTCTCAATGTCAGCTCACTCTGACCCCCAAGAAGGCCATTTATCACCGTCGGGCTGAATGAATGTGGTAGTCTCAGCATGTTGCAGGCATTCTTCCCACCCAACACCTCCTGCATAACTACCTCCTCTGTAGTTCCTTGCACCTCCACCTCAGCCGTACCCTCCTGCAGAATTACCTCCTCCGTAGTTGCTTGAACTACCACCCCAGTTGTACCCTCCTGCAAAACCATCATCACAAGAATACTGGTGAGAGTGAGTTTCACCGATCGGCTCGGTCTCGATATACACCTCTCCACGCCGCACCCGGTGTCAGATAGGAACTGTATCATCATGTTCACTGCGTCATCATCATTTATGACAACTTTTTCGTACATAACTCCGCTAGCACTCATGTTCGGATACCGATAAGTAATTTTACCAACTCTCGTCTCTCCGCCCATACAAATCTTTTCTGCACAAATGTTACGGAGTTCTTCCCACGTGAATCTCGACTCAATTTTAGCATAGTGGATACTGGATTGGTCATCTTCATAATCGATCCCAATGTCCGAGTTTGTTACCTGGCCGCCCCACCGAATAGTAAGCCGAAACTTCTTAAATTAACTCATGTCTGCAATTTATAATAAGTAAATATTAGCTTAACTCAAATAAGATTAGTACAATATAATTAGTACTTAGGGCTACGAAAATAATATCATCCAAACCCATAAACAACCGCAACTAACTAATCTAACATGAGAATACTAAACAAATTCATATAAATTCATAACTAACTAACATCAATCATACCATAATTAATCTAAATAAACTCACTAAATACATACATATAATTATTAACACATCTAAACAATACAGATTAATAACATACCGAAAATGGTGAATCTGTAAACGTAGTTGTCAGAAGCGAGCTGGGAAGGGGTTTTTTGCGGATATGATGAGTTGAATGTGGAAGATTTTGAGGCAGGAAAGCGAGGGATGGGTTATTTATATGGAAATCAGATGGATTGATCACCGCAATTGACAACAGCGGTGAAGCCATCACCGCAATTGACAACAGCGGTGAACTCTAGGTCGTTGTGACTTAATTTTCTACCTACCAGGCCCGGAAAACGTGGTAAATAATCACCATTTTGTAGAAAAGCGGTGAAATTATCACCGTTGTAGAGTACTGCGGTGATTGGTTCGCCGTTTTGTTCTAAAGCGGTGAACCCATCACCGTTTTGTTCTACAGCGGTGATGGTATCACTGTTCTGGACAACTGCACTGATTAACATCACTGTATTGAACAACGAAAGTGATGATCAAACTGCTGTACTTTGGGAAATACTCTTGTAACTACGGTATTTTGGTAATTTTTTTTATAACTAGTGTATTCTTGGATTTTTTTCCCGGCCCATGAGTCCATCTTATTCATATTGTTATTGAAACCCACAAACCCAATTTCCCAGCTTATTTTCCTCCTCCATACATACGCAAAGTTTGAATAGAGAAACCAAACCCACCTAAATAAGAAAAATCAATCTATCCGAATAAGTTGATCTTGTGATATTCTTCTCTGCATCAGAACTCGCTACATTCTTGAGTCTCAAAAGTGTTTCTTAGAATGCAAGGAAGAAGGAACCCCGGAATTGCCTAACTTATTCCAGGGAATGGAACAAAACAACCATTCTTACAAACACCAAAACGATCCAAGCTGCGCACGGGTTCAGCTCTTTCACAAGCAACAAGCAGTGCCCGAGTTTTTGCAGACCCGTTTTGTAAAATGTTTTCATAACTCACAAGGATTCATAGTTCCAGAATAAATTCACCTCCAGAAACCTTGAAGTCCGACGGCACTTCTTCGAAGTTAAGGACCTTGATTTTCCCATCTTCACAAATGCCGACCATCTACACAAACAAAAATGATCACGGGCAACTCAAATTTGTTTCTGTAACATGATTTGTACCTATCAAGACCAGATGAACCTCTCAGATCGAGGTCCAAGCAAAGCACCAGAGAGATCCTTCTCCAACTCCAAACTCTTGTGAAATTTCCCATCAAAGTCTCCATAGAATTCAATCTAGATGGGAAGAAAGAACACATGTAACTAAGTCGTTTATGATAGTTGAGGAAGCAAAATTTGATTACTTCACATTTACGGCATCTTTAGCTTCAAGTTTCTCTGCCATCGGCTCAAGATAGGGTGCATAACTATGAGTAACCAAATCTGGACTCTTTTTTGAAGTGGCTGAATATCTAAAAGTGGAGAATTAAAGAAATTTCAAATCTATTTTTCCTAGTTTTCTTGATTGTATCATATATTCTTCATTCTAACTCGGATTTCAATTTTTTTGCACAGATGGAACGAGTTTGTTGTGCTCTACAAAATTATATCCATTTTTAATATTTTTTTAGAAAAAAAAATTTATACCTCTCGTTACCAACTCCATACCATATGATATCTCCTACATTTTTTTTTTTTGCACAGAAGGAACGATTTAATCATGATCTATTGGATTTCAAATTTTTCTGGATGAAAAACTTTCACACCTCTCGTTACCAATTCCATATCATACTATACCATCCTGGTATGGGGTGGTATTTTTCATACCATATGGTATGTTGTTATTTAATACCAGTCAATACCATATGGTATAGACTGGTAATAACTGGTAAATATTTTTTGTTCCAAAAATATCAAAGTGGATATCATTTTGAAGAGCACAATTAATCTAATCTAACTATGCAGAAAAAAAATAAATTACGAGTTAAAACGAGTGAGAAATCGTCTGTTAAAAATTAAGGTAAGGAAAATTAAAGATTTTTCGAGGAGAGAAAAGGAGGCGCTGATGTATGCATGGGGTTATAGAAACACAAGGTTACTCACCGGATCTGCTCCCCTACCCATTCATTCATTACAAAGGATCATTAACAGCCACACAACTGACAGAGTCCACCCCTTTAGCCTTGAACTTATCAATGTTGTTTTTGTAACTCGGGACATGTTGCTGGGAACAAACTCCCGTATATGCATCCTGCATCATTAATTAATTATTAATATATAAAAGTCTAGGTTGTGAGTTACTATTCATTAGTGGCTCTCACACTCCTCCAAGTGCAAGTGAGAAAGTTTCAAGTTGCTCCTTTTACCCCACTCTCCATTTTATAAACTTTGTGTTTAGCTATTTTTCACTAGGTTTACGTCTATTCAACCCAAACATAAGGGTATCCTAACTTGAACCCAAGGCCGCTACCACGAGTTTTGTATCGGGACCGAGTTTCATCCTCTTTAGTGTTTTTTCTTTTCTCATTTTCCTTTTTGTTGACCATCATCACAATTGAACCCAAAAAGTCATTTGATTCAGTCAAAGCGACTTAAAACTGACTTCAGTATTTATGAATTCTCTTTTTTTCTTTTGGTTGGGAAGACAATTGAACTAAAATCTAAGGTATTAACGAGTTTTATCCGCTTTTGTAATTGACAAGTTGGATAGATTGTGAATTTGTTAAAACTTGGTCGACTCGGTCAAAGCGAGTTGAACGCAGTGTTGAGAGTTTAGGGTCGTGAGTGAGTTTTATCCACTTTAGTATTTTTTGTCTTTTTCCTTTTGGTTGAGAATGACAATTAAGTTCAAATACATGAGTATCCAACCTAATTCGACCCGACCAAAGCGACTTGAATCCGCCGTTTACAAGTTTTCAGGGGGAGCGAGTTTTATCTGTTTTTGTAATTGGAGGGTTGTGTTCGGTGTGAATTTACTCAAAACTCGGTTCAACCAGGTCAAAGCGAGTTGAACCTGGTGTTGACGACTTTTGAGTCGGTAGCGAGTTTTACCTTTAGTGTTTTTCTTCGCCTTTTCCTTTTGTTTGAGAAGGACAATTGAACCCAAATCCATGAGAATCCAACCTAATTTGACTCGAATCTTCTCAAACCTGCAATCAGTCCCAAAATTTCATAAAAGAGAACCATGATTACCTCAAACCCAAAAGAAAAAGAAAGCCAAAAGAGTACGACTATGTTTTGCCCAAATTTTAGAAGTTTTATGTTTCAAAAGGTAAAGGCAAGCCTAACACCTCTAAAGTTTCGCTTTTTAAAAATCTGAAGTTTTCATAACATAAAAGCAGAAGTTCCAATTTGAAAATACAATATTGTTCTTACCATATATTATTCTTTTTCTAGAAAACATAATTTTCTTTCATTTATATCATTATAAAAAATAAATTGAAAAATAGTATTATTTAATATGAAATAAATCTAACGTGATCAATTTTAAATAATTTTTATTTTTAGAATTTGTATTAATATATTATGATAGAAATATTTTTTAATCATTTTACATGAGCTCTTATATTAGAAAGTAATTTTGATAGTTTTTCAGCTAAAACTCAATTATTATTTTTTTAATACTTCTTGAAAAGATCTAGAGAATTTGTTTCATTCTACAAAAATTACAGCAGGATCAACCACTAGCCATACAAATTGAAACAATAGCGTCATGAGAGAAGTTTAAACATATATAATGTATTCGACGAACCTTGTTCCTTATGCAAGTTCATGGACTATATGCTATTATAATTAACAAACCTATGAGAAGAATGAAATAAGATTATTTTTACTTTTGAGTCAACATTAAAACTATTACTCTTTATATATTTATTTTTCTGATATGTGAAGCGATAGCGAGCGGGCTTGAAACTCCACAAAGAGAGATTAGAAATCCATTTCAAATTTTCAACCTGTTAAACTAAAGTGGTTCACCCCCAAAACTAGCTGTCATGAATCAACTTCGCAAAGAGCTCGAATCTCAATTTAATCGGACTCTGAGATTCAAGAGATGTAGTCCAACATGAATAAAGCATCTGCTAGGAACAGAAATGCATATCTTTCTATTGTTCTTTAAGTTATAGGTAGAATAAATTAGTTCGTTTGGAAGAGACGCCTTCGTCCCAGCTCCGTGCCATCTGGTGGGCCACGTCAGGTGTCGCGGATACCAAATCGGCCCCAACGGCGACCTTGGCGTAGGACCAGACCTCAAAGATACTGCGATTCGGAGGCAGGCGTCTACCGCGGACTAGAAAGTTGACGGCTTTGCTCGTCTAGCTACTGCGAAAGCCATGGATTTACATTAGACTGGGCACAGAGGAGTGACCAAACGTGTCGCAAGGGAAGTGTGGCCACTCAGTCGAGACAATTCGCCTAGGAGGATAATCATCCAAACCAGCTTTTACCCGAGATAGAATATCTTTTTTTGGGCTTAATATAGGCCCGTCAATATTGGCCCAAAAATCGTGATTTCTGAAATTTCTTGTTGGATAGATGGGATTCGGGTGATGAATTTGCGATCCAAAATCTAGCTAGTGGCTATAGCCTCCAGTAAACTTTGAAATGTAGGTAAGGGAACCTTTCCAGAAATAGCACCTTTTAAAAGAACAATTACGAAAATAGAATCCAGCCGAAAATATTTACAAAAATAGCACCATTTTTTATGGACTGCACCTCCAAGGTGCGATTTATTATCCTGGGCCAAAACCGCATCTTGGCCATGTGGTTTCACCTCTTACCTACAGAAATCGCATGGCCGAAATGTGGTTTTGGCCTGACCTACAAAAACCGCACCTTGGAGATGCGGTCTGTTTCTCCAAAACAAAACCGCATCCCCAAGGTGCGGTTTTGCCACACAAACCGCACCCCCCCCCCAGTGCGTTTTGTGTGTCAATTATTTTCCGACACCCGACATATAGCCATGCAGAATAATAGATGTGGGGTTGCATGGCAGACGAAAACCGCACCTCTAAGGTGCGGTTTTCATCAGTGATTTTGCCTATAAAAGACTGCTCGGAAAACTCTTCTCTTCACACCTCTCCTTCTCCCTTTTCAATTTTCTGTTGTAGCTCTATATTTCTTTAGTGTTTTTGAGATTAACGTTTACGTAAGTTTATTTTGTATTACTTTTTATTATTTGTGATTTGTGATTTTTATGATATTAACTGAACTACGGTTTTTTTGCAGATGGCATTCCAAAAGTTCACGTTTGGCTTACGGTGGAATGGTTACACGGAAGAGACCGGAAAGGGGGTCACCTACGTCAGTGGCAATTTTCAGAAAATAAAGGTTGCTACCATACCGCTGCTTGAAGACCTCCATCAAATGTGCACTAACGTTACTTGCATGGATGGCACGAGAAGAGTTGATCGTATGGTGTACCGATATCCAAATAGAGAAAGTGGGTCATTGTGGCATGAGGAATATCTCATAACCACTCAGGATGAAGTAGATTCCATGCTCGAATTCTTGAGGTCCAACAATCTTTCCAAAGCCGAGATGTTCGTTTACACCGAGGCGGCCGTTGGCGTTGGAGGTCATTCTGGACACGATCAAACATCTGGTATCCATGGTGGACGTGAATTATATGGTGATAATCCCTACCAAAGTTACCATGATTCTCATTCCTATTTTCAGTACCAAGAGCAAGGTGAAGGTCATCATCAATCTTTCCCGTCATATGAAGAAGAAGTTCAACCGGACCTCCCCAACCAACCTCGGTACAACTTCCAATCAGGTAGCGGTAGTTTTCACAACTACCATTATGGAGCTGATGAAGGTGCCTTTCATGAGATGGATCATATGGAAGCTGTCCCGCCAACACCAGTTAGTGACACCTCCGATGAAGAAGGAGAGAACAACGTCAGTGCAGAACGCTCCGACCCTCTTGAAGGTATTGATGATTTAGGACCAGAGTCAGACTCAGATAATTATGATGAGGTGGCTCGTGACCGTGTACCAGTCCCCTACTACAATCACATTCCATACGACAATTGGATGGTCGACAGCGACATGGAGCCGCCAGAGGTCCCAGTATGGGGTCCACTCACTGGGTTTATGAAGGGCCAACAATTTGGCTCAAAGAAGGAGGTGCGGCACGCCATTGAGACTGAAGCAATGACTCGGCATTTTGAATGGCAGACAACTCATTCCAATACTAAAAGGCTCATACCAGATGCCGTAATCATCACGAGGGGTGCAATGTTAGGATTCGGGCCATCAATAGCAAGAGACACGGCCACTGGGCCATCAACGGTCCTTGCTCGAGATAATACCGTTAGTTGTATATATCAACGTCGTCCCCAACCTACGAGAAAATAACAACGAGGTTAGTATATAGATTAATAAAAAGCTTATAACAACAACAAAAATTAAACCAGAATATTGAGTGTGTATCGCTAAAAATTCATCAACATACTCTCCCTCTCCTTGCCACCACTCGCTCATTTTTTTGGGAAATTCGGACAGAGATTCGGCTCGGCTCTGCGGGTTTTGAGTAAAAAAACCAAAGAAATGTTTTCTGATGGCAGATCGGACTTAGCCGCAACCAACAGACCACTATTTCATAGGCTTTTGGGAGGTGAGGGTTTAGAGAGATAATTCTAGAGAGAGAAGGAAGAATGGGTTGTGGTGTGATGAAATGAGAGGGGAAGGGGGTATTTGTACTATTCAGACCGCACCCTTCAGGGGCGGTCTGGTAATTTTCCCCTCGCAGAAACTGCTCCCTTGAGATGTGGTCCGTGATTCCCGAGGCGCTGACTGCACCTTGTAGCTGCGGCCCCCGATCCATGGCGCGGATCGCTGAGCTGGTGTGCGGTCCGTCGTCCGATCGCGCCTTCATCCAACGGTCTCCAAGCCTGTTGCCCAGAAAACACAAACCGCACTTGGATGATGCGGTCCGTTTGCTGACATGGATTGGACCGCACCCCTAAGGTGCAGTTTATAATTAAAACGCACCGTCCTGGTGCGGTTTAATTATAAAACGCACCTTGGAGGTGCGGTTTGATTTAAAAAGTGCTATTTTTGTAAATATTTTCGGCTAGGTGCTAGTTTTGTAATTTTTTTTAAAGGTGCTATTATTGGAAAATCCCGTAGGTAAGAGTATATGAAAAATTTTCATAAATTAAGAAAATAGACTAGACGCTAAGGTTGGTCCTTTAGAGGATTTGGCGGTCCCATAATTGGGTTGTTTTTTAGGGCAAGCAATTTGAATCCCATCGTTGATGACAATTCCACAATAGTATGAGGAGTGGGTTAGTTTTCCTATTGACAGAGGAGCGTGACTGTCCATCCCACAAGCGAGTTTTTTGAATGGTGGAACCCTAATTTAGTTATCTGCATGTGGGATGGGACGGCAAAGAGTGGGTTTCGCTCAACAGGGGGAATGATTATCAAAAGCCAAGAAGGGATGGTCCTCTTGGCTAAAGGGTGCAATTCGCTGAGATTGATGATCCTAAGACAATCGAGCTCCTGGTTCACCGGGAGGTGTCCTGTGGTATCTGGAGAATGGTTTCCCAGAGATAAGGCTATAAGGCAATGTCAAAGTGATCATTGAAAAAATTAACCAGCCGGATGCCTATGATAATCAGGTGGGGGTCATCCTTGAGGAATTCTTGCGCTGTTTGGCGACTCACACTATGATTACTTTGCGATTTGTAGGTCGGAGTAGTACTAGGATAGCCCATTTGGTGGCTAGAAAGGCCCTCTCATTGTACCCGACTACGTGTCGTTTCTTTGATTTTATGGTCTGGTTAAATTTCAGGATGTAATAATGATCTATTTTGTCAATCAATATGTATGATTATCTTTTGTAAAAAAAAAAAAAACAAGACTAGTCGCTAAGGCCTTAGCTCCCTCCCCAATTGCCACGATTCAAATCAGCTCCCTACATTTAGATTTCTACCTCCGCCAATAATCCCAAGTATCATGAATTTTAATAAGTCCTTTGTTTGTTGAGTAAAAAAAATGGAACAAAAATTTGTGGGCAACACAAATCTGGACTTTTTATAGATTTAGATCTGTGAACCTCACGAATTTTGAACTATTTCAAATCCATAATGCAACAAATTGATCATAAATAATAAAAAAAAATTAAACTCAATCCCCTTATTTTCAAATCTAACAAGAAAAGTATGAACTCTTTCAAATCCATACAACATTCCTCGATTTTTTATTCAAAGTTATAATATATGTATTCGTATTGGAAAAAAAAAACTAGAAAGTGGTTGGTTGGGGACAATTATCCCATCTTCCAAGATTTAGAAAGTGGTTGGTTTCTTATTCCCCTGTCTTCTCAGCTCAGAGCAATTCGATTATCAACCTTGATTATCGCCATGTAATCCCACATTTGAGATTCATTGTGATTAGAGCGACTCTCAGGAGGCTACTTATGGCGTTATTGTGTTCAATAGCCATGGTTTTGGTCGGATCGAACGAGCTAATTGAGCTTTGGGCTACTTTGATTGGTGTGGTTGCAACTTGCAAGAGAGATTTTGAGTTTACTGTTTTCGGGTCTAGAGGTTTCAGATCCATTGTTTGGGTTGGTTCATTCTGTGTGTTGTGCTGCCCTTGTTGTATATGTGCAACACAGATTGTTTCAACTGTGTGCTTTTGGGATATGTTCTTGATTTTTTTTTTTTTTTTTGGTTTTCTTATTGGTTTCTCCGCTAATCGATGAAAGCAATCCCTTTGTAAAAAGAAAAAAACACTCTAAATCCCGACCTCGCCACTACTGAGAAGTGCCGCATAGAGACCCCAAAACCCTAGAATTTAAAGTAAATAAGGCTAAACAAACCGAGTGTCTTAAACTCTAGGATAAGCTGAATGACCTTGGGATCAAGAGTAAACGTCCACCACTAGTTCTGTTTATTATATGATTTGATTCCAACCACTAACAATCTTGTAATGTACAGTTATAAGAGATCCCCAAAAGATAGGAATATAAGTTGATTGAGTTGGATATTTGATTATGAATGACTACTTGATAAGTTAACAATAAATACCCTTACTTTTGTTTCCATGGAATCTTTCCCACTCCTACTAACCCGTCAATTGAATCCATTCCGGTGAGATTTCGTCAAAATCGAATCCTGGTAAGAACAGTCCTAAAACCAAACCCTCCGAACTATAAACCCCAATACTCGGATCACAACTCTTCTTTCAGATCACCATTCTCTCCCACACATCCCATTTCCTTATCCCCTGAATGGACGCCACCACCGCCGGCGCCATGGCCGACGTGGAACAACCCGTCGCCGGCGTCGAACCAGATCCCTTGAAACCCAAGAAGCTAATCACCCTCGTCCCTCTCATCTTCCTAATCTACTTCGAAGTCGCCGGTGGGCCCTACGGCGAGGAGCCGGCAGTCCAGGCCGCCGGCCCGTTCTACGCCCTCTTGGGCTTCCTCATCTTCCCCTTCATCTGGTCCATTCCGGAAGCGCTCATCACCGCCGAGCTCTCCACCGCCTTCCCCGGCAACGGCGGGTTCGTCCTCTGGGCCCAGCGGGCTTTCGGCCCATTCTGCGGATCCCTGATGGGCTCGTGGAAATTCCTCAGCGGCGTCATCAACGTCGCCGCCTTCCCCGTCCTCTGCATCGACTACGTTGTCAAGATCTTCCCCGTCCTCCAGTCCGGCTGGCCCCGCATCGTCGCCATCATCGCCGCGATCCTCGTCCTCGCGTTCATCAATTACCTGGGCCTCAACATCGTCGGGTATGCCGCCGTCGCCCTGGGCCTGATTTCGCTTTCCCCTTTTGTTCTGATGTGCCTGATCGCAATTCCTAAAATCCGGCCCAAGAGGTGGCTCTCAATGGGCCAGCCCGGAGTTAAAAAAGATTGGAATCTCTTCTTCAACACCCTGTTCTGGAACTTGAATTTCTGGGACAACATCAGCACTCTCGCAGCAGAAGTTGATAAGCCGGGGAAGACTTTCCCGGTTGCTCTGCCGGTCGCCGTTGCGCTGACGTGTTTATCGTATCTAATCCCTCTTTTCGCCGTCATCGGGGCCGTTGATGTGCCCCAATTGGAATGGGGATCTGGGTTCCACGCCACCGCCGCGGAGATGATCGCGGGGAAATGGCTCAAGATATGGCTCGAAATAGGCGCGGGATTGTCCGCAATCGGGCTGTACGAGGCCCAATTGAGCAGCTGCGCGTACCAGATCTTGGGGATGGCGGAATTGGGGATCCTCCCCAAATTCTTCGCCGCGAGATCGAAATGGTTCCACACGCCATGGATCGGGATCGCTGTCCCCACGGCGCTGACGCTCGGGGTGTCTTTCTTGCAGTTCACGGACATCATCTCCTCCGCGAATTTCATCTATAGCTTGAGCATGCTGCTGGAGTTCGCGGCGTTCTTGTGGCTGAGGCGTAAGATGCCCGAGCTGGAGCGGCCGTACAGGATCCCGATGAGGCTGCCGCTGCTGTGTGTATTCTGCTTGATTCCGTGCGTGTTCTTGTTCATCTTGATTGTGATTGCTACCAAGACCGTGTTCATGGTGAGCGGGCTGATGACGGCGGGGTCGATTCTGTGGTTTCTGATGATGGCGCTTTTCAGAAAGCACAAGTACTGCGTCTTCGCCGTCGATGAAGGGCACCAGGCTAGTAATGACAATCAGCCTAATTCCTGAGTTCCATTTCTTTTTGGGTTTCGAAACGTTTTTCTTAATAATTCTTTTGAACAGAATAGATGGTCGATTCGATGTTGCTCTGCAGTTTAGTTGCAGACTTGCAGTAGGGCTAGGTAGGATGTGTAGTTTATGCCTTGTTTATGGTTGAATCTCTGCTTTCCTACAATGTTTTCTTATTGTATCTTCTTTATTTTATTTTTTATCACTTCATTAGTAAAGATTTTTCTTTGTCTATATATGCCTGCAAAACTCGTTGTTGTGAATGAGGATAGTCCAGTTTGTCGACTGTTGGTTGAGCACACAAAAGATTGTGTATTCGATAATGACACTATTAATTCAAAATCAGCCAAACACACTAAATTGAAAATATCGTTTTTCGTTTACATTCAGTTTCTTGACAAAATTAAATCGTCTAACTTTAAAAACAAAGTGTAGAAGGAATATTACATTTCGGATATCGTTTTGGGTAATATTAAATTGTGAGGATATTTGATTTGTTAGTTTTGGAGAACTTGTTTTATTGATGCCAACTTTCTACGAGTCGAAGATAAGGTTTTAACTTATATATTTACGGGTTGTTGTTTCTCACCGTTGAAGTGTTATCTTGTTTGTTAGTTTTGCAGGATCTCGTTCCGTTGCTTTCGCCTTTCAATGGTTAGAAGTTAAGAATTCCGATCGTCTTATTGTGAGTGGTATCCTTATAGATGCTTGCTTGTTGACATTTCGTTCAACAAGATTCGTTGCATCAATGACATTTAGTATTAAAATGTTGTCCATATCATGACATAGAAAGTTTTTCTTATCGATAATTCGACTAGTGTACATATCTCTTTTTATTATAATTATTTTCATACCTTTCATTTCTATTTAGAATATTGTTCAAAAGAAATTACATAAAACTTGTTTTCTCTGCTCAACAAAGCGAAGAATAATGAGAACAAATAGATATTCCAATTCAAAATACTACTACATTAATTAGTTTCCTAACTGAACCCCAGATTCTAGGGTTTTGTTGTAAAGTAGTGGAGGACGTGAGGTAGAAGGGCTCTTCATGATTCCGCCAGTAATGGATCAAGGCGTCTTATGTGGGATGGCAAAATTACAACAAAATACTTCTGTTTTGTTGCCCTCTCTTGCAATGTTGTAGTGGATTTAGGCGACAAATTAGTCGAGCTACTCACAAGCAATTTTATCTTTGATTCTCTAGTAACTAAGTTGAGTTTGAGCTCAATATTGTTCAACTCGTGAGACTCGCTAGCTATTTAACTCGATGACTTGTTGAATTCAAATTGCACGTTAGCTCATGTTAAGCTGATAAGTTGGTTTGAAGGTCTGACTGGTGAGTTCATTTGTGAATCGATGTATAACTTATAAGTTGACTTGTTAATGATTAATAAGTATTTTTTCAAATTGTAGTATCACTTGAGTAGAGCCCAATCTAAGTGCAAAGCCCAATCAATCACCGACGTTAGTTTTCCGTGGTGTGTTACATAGGCTGTCCACAAAAATTGGGACTTATTCTAGAAAAAGCATTGTTTTAAAAAAATTCAAAAGTTGCACCCAACCCAAAAAAAATTCAAAAATAGCACCTAACCCAAAAAAATTCGAAAAATAGCACCCTTTGACTGCCACCCGGGGGCGCGGTTTTCGACGAAAACCGTACTGAGAGGGGGCAGTTTTGCTGACCGCGTGGGGTCGGGGCAGTTTGGTTGAAAACAGCACCCCCACCTGGCAGTTTGTATTATATATTTTTTTCCAAATAAATATTATAAGTGGTCTTCGCACAACTGGTTTAGTTGTTTATTGTGAGTAAGTAGTCCCAAGCTCGAATCCCCATCATCCTTAAGTTTTTTTTATTTAGTAGTGATTAAAAAAAGCCCCATGCTATGGGGATGGTGGTTCGAACTCAGATATAATAAATAATTAACTAAAATTAGCACAATATCTACACCACCAAACTATAACTCTTCTTTTAAAATAATAATAATAATAATAATAATAATATATTGACAAAGTTTTATTCCTTGAACGCTAAAAATTACTCAATATCTTTGAACAAGCATAACTTTGTGATCCAAAATCCGAACGTTATGAATTTTTTTTCCATTTTGCATAACTTTTTAAGGACTATAATTTTTACTAGGAATGAATTTTCAAAACAGGAATTATTTTTTGATATACCGGGTTTTGGGAATAACCTACCTTCCCATTTTACAAATTCACGTACATTTCAAAATTATGTCTATGATAAAAGTTATGGTTGTCCAAAGTTTGACGAAATCGGAAAAAACTATGCGAAATGAAAAAAGAATTCATGACATTCGGATTTTGGAGCACACAATTATGGTTGTCCAAAGTTTGACGAAATCGGAAAAAAGCTCGTTCGGGGTAGCAAACAACAGTTATGGCTATCTAAAGTTAGAGGAAATCGGAAAAAAGCTCATTCGAAACACAAAGTTATGGCTGTCAATATATTATTGTTCCAAAAGAAGAGTTGTAGTTTGGTGCTGTAGATGACGTGCTAAATTTAGTTAACTATTTATTATATCTGGGTTCGAAGCACCATTCCCACATATGTGCTTTTTTTAATCTCTACTAAATAAAAAGATTAAACATGGGATGATAGGGATAGGCATGGCAACGGGTGGGTATGGGTACGGATAGTGGCTCCCCAATCCCCGCCTGCACATACAAACGGGTTTTACCCGTCCCCGTCTGGAATAAACTATGGATACCAAATCACTACCCATCCCCATACCCATGCGGGTTTGGGCATTCCCCGGTTGGCCGGGTTTTACCCGCCGCACTCATAGGACTGCCGACGATTGATCTCAAGTTTGGCGTCACGTAGTCGTACAGACTCAGACCATCACCGGAAAGCAGAGGCAACAATCGATGACGTGCCGACGGGAGATGCAGCGACCACTGAATGACAGAGCTCCTCCCGTCACTTCGCTTAATGAAGAGTTCGGCGATGACCTGGAGAATTCGCGGCGGTCGATGCAGAGTAGCACAAGGAAAAGATGAAGAAAATGTTGAGTTCTTTTCTACTTGAAGTTCGTTTATGGTGAAGAAGAGAGATAAGAGAAAAGGGGAGGAAAGAAAGAGTTGGGGGCGACCAAAACATCGGGGAGGGAGAGAGTTAGTCTAGGGTTTAGTTTTTGGACTTGGAATGAGGAAGGTAATGGATCAGGATTGGCTGGTTTGAGAGAAGGTAATAGATCAGGTATGCATATCGGACGGGGCCGGGGCGGATAGTCTGATATCCATCCCCGACCCATCCCCGCTACTGTGCATATTTCGGGTTTCCCCGAATCCGGCCCATATCCGACATTGACGGGTTTCAAAGCGGGCTTGACTGGGCAGGTGCGGGTTATATCCACTATTATTTTACCCATTGTCATCCCTAGATAGGGATTCGAGCCTAGGACTTCTTGTACATAATAAACAACTAAACTAGTTGTGCCTAGACCACTTATGACATTTATTTGGAAAAAAATATATAAAATACAAACCGCCGGGTGGGGGTGCGGTTTGCAACCAAATCACCACGGCCCCACGCGGTCAGCAAAACCACCCCTACCAGTGCGGTTTTCATTGAAAACCGCGCCCCGGGTGACGGTTTTGATGAAAGGGTGTTATTTATGGAATTTTTCGGGGTTAGGTGCTATTTTTGAAAAAAAAAATAAAGAGTGCTATTTCTAAAAAAAAATCACCATAGCCGTATAACATTAGACATTAGCTAAAATTAGGGCTGGCTATTTGGTCCGAACTGTTTAGTTTTACCCGAAACCGGACCGTATAACTCGGACCGGGACCGGACTGGGACCGGATAGCAAACAATCCAATCTCATATTCGGGCTTAGATTTGAGGTAAAAAAACCCGGATAAAGACCGGATAAGGACCCCCAACACCTAAAATCAAGATAAAATTGGGATCGGACCGGGTCAAGATCGGGTTGTATCCAATCCAATCTTTGGTCCTTATATTTCTGACAAAACTGGATTGGGACCGAATCAATTTGGTCCAATTTAACCGGACCGTACCGTATAGCCACCCCTAACTACAATGGAATATGCAGCAGAGAAGAGATGCAGCGGACTTCTCTTTTCTTTCTTACTAGCTTATAATCCGGCCCGTTGGCCGGAATGTTTATATTTTATTTTTTATGTTACGTTAAAGTCTATCAACCTGTTTAATTTTATTGGCAATCTTTCGATCGAGATGATACATAAAGAAAGAATATATAGGTCGAACATTCAGAGAAATATCATCATCATTTGAGAAAATAAAACATAAAAATGTATGATTGATCTCATTTTCATAATGATAATTAAGCCCAGTTAATATGTTATTGGTTAGTTGATTGTTAAGAAAGATAGAGTATAAAAGCTCATTGGAATTCCCACACGACCCATAGATAGTTTGAAACTGAATCTACAACCTCACAATCCTACGTAAATGGTTCAATGCTCTCATTTTGGGGGCAATATGCCACTAATAAAAAAGAAATGGATAGTTGTAGGTTCAAGTCAACTATATACTAACAACTCGGCTAAGAGTGGACCATCAAAACTTGAGAGCAAACGATCAAAGTAAATTGGGTTACCTCCAATATACTAATAGACGCGATCAAAGTAATATGACGCAAAATTAGACAGTCCTTATCTATCAGTTCCAGTAGGTTGAATAAAGAATCAACCTACTTCATTAAATCAATCAATGATTACTCGTTTTAAGATAGAAATAGGTTGTGGTAGCTGCAAAAACTATAAACCTAATGATCCAATAGCGACCACTCTCCATTGAACGACCAAATTTTTTTTTATATACTCTATCTTCAATCTCAAGAAGCATATGTTTCAACCAAACATTCACTTTCTAATCCCCCTTCTGCAACTCCATTTCTGCTACTTTGATGGACCTTCTCTCTGCGACCCTCAATTTCTCTTCCAATTAGGGTTTTTGTCAACTCGCTCTTCAACTCCTCAATCCTCTTCCTGTGTTTTGCCAACTCATCTTCCTCAAGGCCAGTTGTAATAAGTTCGCTAAAACCAAAACTCATCTCCAATTCCATCAATATGCTCATCTCCCCCCTTGTATGCCTTCACATGCTTCAGTACACTTCCATGTCCTTCAATACCCTCTCCATTTTTATTAATATCCTCATCATCTCTCACTTCTCTCTCTTTAACTGCTCCAGTTTTGCTTCCGCGTCTTTCAACACCCTCCTCAATTCGATCACTACCTTCGGTAACTCCCTCTTCTCTGCCTTAACATGCTACAGTTGAATTTTTCTTCCCCCCACCCCACTCTCATTTTCAAACTCAATCCTAACTCTTCTACTCCAAGTTCAACACCTCAAACTCCTAGAGTGTTGCATGAAAGCTCAATTTCTAACTAATTCTAAAACAATATCAAAATTTGATTAGTGAGATAAGAATAAAAATTAATGAGGAAAATTATGGTTGCGGAGAACATTAGTTATCACAAAATCAAATATGAGCGGAATATTGTAATTGAAAAGAAACCTTTTTTCTCATTTTGATCTTATTTTATTATTTCAATAGCTAAGCAAAGAACAAAAATAAAGTACAGGAAACACACAACAAAGTGGACAGGGCTCTAGCAAAGTACAACTGCCATGTTCTACACAAACATCTCTTTTGCTTACAAACAAATATAGTACCCAAACCATCGTTCAAATTCATTTTCTATATTTAATAAATTATTCATAAACAAAAAACTTAGATAAATCGGGAAGGAAATAATAGCCTGCCAGTTCAATTCGATGAACCTAATATGAAGATAGAAACACATTGAAGTTGAAACCTAATAACATAAAGAGGAGAAATCACGCAGGAGATCCCCCGAGCTTTAAACATCGTTTCAGGCAATAAGATCAAAATAAATAGATATTATGCATGTTGTGCTCATGAGACAACGTGAAAATAAAAGTCTCTTTGTTATTAATCAGAAAGATAAAACCATGAGACATAGAGAAGAAACGAATAACTTACATGTGTAAAGCGATTAACCTTGATCGGAAATCGAAAACCTATTAAAGGTCAATGCCTGGTATAGGAAGAGGAGTAAAGGCGAAAGGTATAACTGATCAAACATTGCCTTCAGCAATAGAAGCAGCAAAATAGTTCTTCTGATAGTACATCGGGGAGAGACAAAACCATTGGGTGATGCCAGTGCAGAGGAATCGAGCGAGATAATCAAGACCATGCCATAACTACTTGATTGAACTCCATTCTATTGGCCATGGATTGATATGAGAGTTAAAATCTTCTACTTGCCCAGCTTAAATCCCCAAGAATAAAACTGCAGTGCCAAAAGATACCGGAATGTTGATTTTCAAATGCTCCTTATACTAGGAAGTGAAAGCACGCAAACTATTGCACGATGGAGGGAATCAATTTATATTTCTGACAAAACTGGATTGGGACCGAATCAATTTGGTCCAATTTAACCGGACCGTACCGTATAGCCACTCCTAACTACAATGGAATATGCAGCAGAGAAGAGATGCAGCGGACTTCTCTTTTCTTTCTTATGCCAAAGCACACAGGTCAAACCGAAATTATCCCCGTACCAAAACACGTACTGAAATTGTTTTTGATATGTAACAATTATCAAAGCTGTATCGTTGTAAATTCATTTATTTACACCAACAAAATTTACATCTCTCACAAATATTTTGGATAGAAATACGTCGGTGCCCCTGAATTGGTACATATATGTTGTGAATATATGTACAATATCATACTTGTATCGATGAATTTGATGTATTGTAAAATATAACGTTTGGTATATATAATTGTGTTTGTCACATCAGCTAAAAGTTGAGATAAAATAATCTCAACTCAATTATCTCGACAATTTCAACTAAAAGTTGAGATATAACTATCACTCATTTTGGCTGTGGGTGATAATTTCTGCCACACCACAAAAATAATTCATGTATTGTGTCTGCTAAAAAAATCGATCCATTCTAAACTAGGGGTGTAAGTTTGACCCTTAAACCCACTAACCCGCCCCGACTCTCAAGGTCGGGCTGGGTCAGTTTGTCTATAGGGTCAATTTAGGATCGGCTCGGCTTAGGGTCGGGTCAGAGTCAGATAGGGTCGGGTCAATTTAGGGTCGGGTCACTTTTTGACTCTATGACCCTTAGCATCATACAAACACATTGGACCTATTTGTTAAATTTTATAAGTTTAGGTACTAAATTATAAAAATTAAAAAATTTGGGTACCAAAATGTAATTTTACCATCAAATTTTAGGGACTTATTTGTAAAAAAATATAATTTAGGTACTAAAATGTAAGAAAAAATAAATTCAGTACCAAATTGCAATTTTTAGAAAAGTAGTCTATTTATTAGGGTCGACCCACTGAGCCGACCCTTCCTGACCCACCCTGACCCTAAAGGGTCAGACAGGGTCATGAAAGAGACAGGGTCGGGGCGGGTCAGTTATACATCTTGACCCTTCAGGGGCGGGTCAGACAGGGTCAGGGGCGGGTCGGGCCAATTTTCAGCCCTATTCTAAACCATACAAGTATAGCAATAGTCACAATGAGCATCACCATGCAGCCATTATAGATAGAGCTTTTGAGCTGCTTCATAGAGAGAGGGAAGTTTCCATAGCCCATATCTACCAAGAGGGGAATAAGTGTGCTGATTTTCTTGCTAACAGGGGGCACAGTATGCCTCTTGGCTTCCATCCTTTTCTGTGTTTGATCCTAATCTTTGTAACTGGATTATGTACGATGTTCAGTAGATTTTCGAACCCCATGTGGTTTTTGAATGAAAGATAGGGTATTATTGCATCCATTTGATAAAAAAGGGGTAAATGCCACATTTAGTCACTGAGATTACTAAATCGTGTCATGTTTAGTGACTAGAAAAATTTAATATTAATTTTGGTCATTTGATTTACTGAAACAGAGCACATTTAGTCAGGTTGACGTACGCTAAATATTATTGTTTTAATTGACAAATTTTGACAGAAGTTCTAAATGGGATGTGATAACGACAGAATTTATGATTAGAAAATCGAAACATCACAAGTGAGTGTGCTAAATATTGAAAATTTTCAATATAAACATACTACAAACTCTGTTATGAATCAATAACACAATAGAAGATCCAAAATGATTTAAACTTATAAATAAGTTAATTAATATAAATTATAAAATAAATCTCTCCGACCAACGGGCCAGGTAAAACGCTAGTAAATCACTAAAAACAATATAGTAAACTTTGGTGAGTTTCAATTCAACTTTTGAAGTCTGTTCCTTTTTCGGGCCTAATCAGATTATTTAAATCTATTATCCAACTAAGATATTTTTATTTTTATTTTTCTGCTGCATTGTTGTAATATTTGACCAAAACATGGTAGTAATTTAAATGATATATTAATTAAAATAATAGCACTATTTAAAAAATAATTAAAAAATAGCACCCAATCCCCAAACATTTATAAATATAGCACCCAACCTCCCCCTAACCATGCGGTTTTCATTGAAAACCATGCCGCCACCCTACGGTTTTCGTGTAAATTTTTTTGGGAAATTGTGCTATTTTTGGAATTTTTCAGGTTGGGTGCTATTTTAAAAAAAAATAGTGTTATCTCTGGAAAAACTCCTACAATGCAAGGGACTTCTCCTCTCCTTCTTATTCATCCTTCTGTTTTCATTTTTCAATGAGCCTACGACTGTTGAGTTGTGAGATTTCACAATTTATAGAAACAAAAGTAAATAGTAAACACTAAGTAGTGCTGAGGTATTAAACATTTAAACCTAACCAAACTCCAGACTAGAAAAATGATCTATTATTCCCGAAATCAGAATGGACAATCCTCTACCTCTACCAAAGCACACCTAAGTCAAATTGAAATATCCCAACAATTAAACAAACTGAATTTGTTCTTGGTCTGTCAAATGGGATGATCAGTCTCCAAAACTAACAGAGAAACAACAGCAATACCCAGAGGGATAGTGTCCACCTCCAAATGTTGAGGTCGATCCGTGAAAGCTTGCTGAACAGAACCTCCTTGACAAGGCACAAGTTCCAAAATTTACCATGGAATTTATGGAACCCAATTACGATAATGCGAAAATGGAGTACCCAGCAGAAGAAGACAGCCAACTAAAGGGCTACGTGATGCAGTTTGAGACTTACTATATCACTTGTTCTTGCTAGCAAACTTCGTAATGCTTCCGTACCAATTCCACTGGAAAAACAGAGCTACGACTCGCATTAGACCAATGGCTACCACCTCGACAAATGCCATCAAGGGCGATCTCTGCGGGGCTAAACCAGCTGTGGCAATGGCCAGCATCGCGCCCTCGAAGTTGCAAGGCACGAAGAAGCTTCCCAGCTTGATCCCGTCGAAGCATTTCCTGGCAACTTCATCTGCTTTCATTGCGCCAGATGATGCTGCTATGATGCTTGTCAATGGCGGCCTCGTCTTGGTTTCTGCAATCACAAGCACCTACGCTGTTAATAATTACTGCTGCAGTTGGCCCAAAAAATACAACTAGGGTGTATTTATGCGAACAGAATACTCCAGCAGACCCAATCACTCAGAATCGCCAACGGAGCAGCCAAGCGAAACAAGGAATACTCTTCCAACAAACTTCGTAGTTGCTTGTTATCAATTTTCACTCGAATTGGCGATTTAGCTAGTGTCCTCTTTACATAGCAACCACTATTTACGGCACAATATGAAACAAGCACTCTGCATCTTGAGTTATACGATGCATTCTATTGCAGACAACCTGTTCGAGGAAATGCCCAGATGAAAACACCTTAGCTAGTGCTGAGGGGGAAATAGATGGAATTCCATACCTTCAGCCAGACCAGGTGTTTCAGTGTCCGGAGGGAATATAAGAGAGACATGGATATCATCGGCGATGACTTCATGCTGAAGCGCTTCCGCCATGCCCCGTAGCCCGAATTTGCTAGCGGAATAAGCCGTGTATCCATAAACTCCCACCTGAAAAATCAGCAGTTCAGCAACAAAGCAACCAAACGAAACAAGGCTCGGATTATAAAAAAAAAAAAAAACCGCCGTAACTACCTGGCCGGCCTGCGATGACATGAGAGCGATGGACACCGGCCTCCGATCCGACCGGCTCTTCATCCCTGGCAAAGCAGCTTTCACGACATTGAAGCTCCCCAACATATTGACGTCAATCATGAACCGGACCTCGCTCAGTTCCTGCTTCTCCAGCTCCCCCGCGACGAAAACCCCTTGGTTCACGATCAGGACGTCGATCGGGCCGGCGGAATCCACCGCCTTCTTCACGGCGTCGAAATCCCTAACATCCGCCGCGTAGATCGCGGCCTCGATCCCCGTCGCGAGGCGGATCGAGTCTCTGGCCTCTTCCAGCTTGTCGAGGGATCGGGCCAGGATGGAGACCCTGGCACTTTCCGCCGCCGCAGCCGCGTGGGCAAGGGCGAGGCCGATCCCGCTCGACCCGCCGGTGATGAACACATGGCGGTTCTTCAACGGGATCTTGACGGGACGTGGGCGGACGATTAGAGCCAAGAGTGCGAGGAGGGCGAGTGGGAAGATGAGTAGAAGAAGAGTGCCGAAAGCGAGGTTCGCGTCCGCCATTTTTGGCTGCTCCTCTCGCACACTCAGTTCCCCCCGAAAAAGTGCAGTCAAACCTTAGACCATCTTTAGTGCAAGGTTCTAAAATTCCAAATTTTGGGGTTAAAATTCTAAATCTAGCTCTCCAAAAGTGTTTTTGCATTATTGGGAGGTCGATAAGTCCAAAATTTCAGAATTTGACATTAACTCATTATTCAGTTTAGTGTAGATTTCATTATTCTAATTACAAAATTTGTTCTTTATTTTTATATAGGCACTAATAATTAATTAAGACGAACATTTCGATAATTTTTTTTTGAATTCCGACAATAAAAAAATTATTGTCAAATATGACGTAATTAATGACGAAAACAACATTATTGGTTCAGATAGCCATGGCCGACAGCACCGTCCTCCGAAATTTCGATCCATGCATGGCACAAAATTTTATCTTCGAATTCCTTCCAATTCGGCGGGCGATTGCCATGAGACATTTTTTCCTTTTTGGATAGAGAGATGATGAATATCTTTGAGAGAATTGAGAGGAAGAAAATGAAAGTAATGAAGTAGAAGTGAAGGATTTGATTTGTATTGATGCGTATTTATAGGAGAATTTTGGGAAAAAATAGCTGTTGGGTGCAAATATCCGTTGGGAGTGAGACTGAGGACTGATTGTGTATTTTTTTTTAAAAAAAATCTCCAACGGTCTGAAGGAAGGAGGAGCAATAGGGTGGGCGAGTGTTGCGCACGCAGGCGCGGGATTGGTGGCTCCCCTCACGACACGTCTTCTCCATAAAGAATGGTGGCCACAATCAATTTGCAATTTCTTGGCGGCTAGTGGGCCAAATTTGCACCGAAAATTGCTTTTGGTCCAATTATTTGGACTTTTGAACCTACATTAAAGTTGTTGGGGGCTAATCTTTTGCCTTTTTGGATCCCCATTAAAGATGGTCTTAGGTAATCAATTGGCGGAGCGGGAGAGAGAGCCAGCAAGAGAGCGTAAGAGCGGTCACCAAAGAAGAATTCAAAATTAAAAGACTCAAAAGAGGGTGACTATTATATTACTAGCTTGTACTCGACTCCATGGTCGGACAAAATTGATTTTATTTTGTTATAATTTATGTTACACAAATATAATTTATGAATAGATGGGTTCATTTCATCAAAAAAAAAAAAAATAGCTAGCAAAGATAAATGAAAAAACAACTTTACAAAATACTTGTAAAAACAATCAGAATTTAGTCGTGTAAGGAAAGAACCTACACCCCGAATGTACTCAATGATTGACTGAGACATCTGTTACTATCAAAACAAACCAAGATCTTCACCTGCAAATAAACATTCAACCTTAGTTTTTACACTTCTACATAAAGTAATAACATCTCTATTATCGCCTGCATACATCCGCCTGCAACTTTCCCTCCAAATGTTACTGACCATCGACTCTTTCAAGTCCAACGTTCATAGCTTTTCCTAATAGCTTGCAGACGGCCCAATGAAGTTCATCCTCGTAGGTTTGGCTCGGTATGCGCTGTGTAAACCTCCCCAACAGCAAACTAAAAAGTTCGCCACTTAATGGACAGAGATAAAAATATATGGTCCCTGGAATCCAAACCTATATTGTATACACGATGCACTGTATTATCAACCAAGTCAAAAATTTCAAAACTATCATAATTTTGAAAAAGAATACATTTGCAGGAGAATTTTACAGGAAAAACACAACAAACAGCATGTAATAGATGGCCTGGACAAATATGATGTGAGAAACTTCATCAAATATACAGTACGGGAAACTTCATTATTTTATAATACTGCTTTGAAAACCTAGAGCAATGTAGATAACATGACTTTGAGTAATTAAAATTTATTAACTAAATGATATATGATACAACAAAGTAGAATATGAGATTAGCTAATAATATAAATTATTTGTATAATGATATACAAAATGAAGTGCCAAATAATAGTCAAGATTTTAGTAAACAAGCTAGCTCGAACTCGACTCGCTCGTTAATAAACGAGCTGAGTTCCCGAGCTCAAGCTGGGGTAAAACTAGACTCGACTCGGTTCATTTGCAGCCCTACCGAGAACCGGACGAGAGGTGAATACCCGTTGCCGCGAGCCGGGGCAATAGTGGTCCCGGGTGCCGGTAGGAGGGCGAAGTTGGGAGCCGGTGTCCGAGAACGATAGCAGGACCGGGCTCCGGGAACCGAATGAGAGGTGATGTCTCGCTGCCTGGATTCGGGGCAATGGTGGGCCCGGGTGCCGGGAGCGATAACAGGCCCAGGCGTCAGGTCTGGGCGCAATAATGCATCAGAGAGAGCCGAACTCGGAGGGAGGAACCCTCAACGGGAGGCCATCGCGAGCCATTGTTTGATTTAGTGTTGGTGGGTCATGGCACAATTGTGTACCAATTGGAGTTGGACGGGCCTGGCCCAATATTTCACCGGAGAGAGTCGTGGGCTGGGCGAGATTATGGCCCAGATGCAATGATGCATTGTTTGAGCAGATGGTGAGCTGGTGTAGTAAAAATATTTATACATTGGGTATATCATTTGCCCCCCTTGTCGGCGGGAATATGAAGATTCTCGGGGGCAAGCATGTTCTACCCAAATTTAATCTTGAGAGTTAATTAGAAGGCTACCTATCTTTGATATATTTTATTTATTTATTTAATGTTGGTGTGTTTGGGAAGTGCACAAGTCTTGGATTTGGGGAGAGAATTTCTCTTCCCTATGACTTTGACCTTCACTCTTCTTTATTCTCATGAGCTTAATAGAAGACTGTGCATTTTTGTTGAATTTTGGTCAAAGACTGTTTGGAAAATGCACAAATCCTTTGACTTTTAGAAGAGAAAGTGTTCTCTTCCATGTTTTCCTCCCCTTCATTCTCCTATAAATAGCTTCTTCCCCCTTTCTTCATTCTTCACTTCATTCTTCTCCAAGTTCTCCCTTTCCTTCGTCGAGAAAAAAACTTGTTAATTAGGGGGCAGTGACAAGGCGGGGATTAGCCATTGGAGACTTGATCGTGTCAGGTACGACATCTTTCCCCCTCCCCCCAGCACTACGTAGTATGCTTGCATGCGGGGGGTAGGAGTACTTAGTTTTTTTCTTTTCTCTTTCGTCTCAGTTATGGCATATACGGGTAGGAGATCCATCATGTTGCGAGGGCGACGCTTTATAAGTGAGGCTCGGAGGAGCGCGTTATTGGTCCCAAATATGAGGGCATGTGTGGCATTCTCTGTACAGAGAGTGGTAACCCCCGACAACAATCATGCTGAACTGGGCGTAATACTCCTTGAGGGTCTCATATTCCCTTTGCTTGGTGTTCATGAGGTGTGAGGCATCCAGGTTAGGTCTTTTCTGAGCGAAGAACTTAGCGCAGAAGAGGGTGGCAAATTCTTCAAATTTGTGGAATAACCCATTGAGTAGTTGGTTGTACCATTGGAATACTGCCCCCCGTATTGTGGCAGGAAAGAGCTTGCACATAGTAGCGTTAGATGCCCCCACAAAGGGCATCAGAATCTGAAACGCACTAAGGTGATCCTCCGGGTCATAGGTCCCATATATTCTGGCAGGTGGTGACTGGTGCGGCATTTGAAAATTAGGAGAATTAGGCTACTCGAGAATAGTCTGGGCGAGGGCCCTTCCGTGACTGCGATCACCGAGAAAGCCTTGCGTGATATGAGCCTCCAAATAGGAGAGGGAGGGGGTGGAGCCGACGTCCCATTTGGCTGGACGGACCCACCAGGGGTTTCTAGTTGTTGACTTTAGCTACCATGTACGCTAGTGGAACCGGATGAGAGGTGAAGGCCAGCCACCGTTAGCCAGGGAAATGGTGGGCCCAGGTGCCAGGAGGAGGGGTCCAAGAACGATAACGGGCGCGAGTGTAGATAACCGGACGAGAGGTAAAGGTCCGCCGCCTGAAGCCGGGAAAATGGAGGGTCTCAGTGCCGGGAGGAGGGCAGAGCTCGAGTGCCGGGTCTGGGAATGATAACGGGCCCGTGCGCCGAGAACCGGACAAGAGGTAATGGCCCGTCGCCGGGAGCGGGGATAATGGTGGGCCCGGGTGCCGGGAGGAGTGCGGAGCCCGGGAGCCGGGGTCCAGGAACGATAACGGTCCGGACGCAGAGAACCAGAAGATGGTGAAGGACCACCGCCTGGAGCCGGGGCAATGGTTGGCCTGGGTGCCGAGAGGAGGGTGGAGCCCAAGAGCTGGGTCTGGGAACGATAACGAGCCCGAGCGGCGAGAACCGGACGAGAGGTGAAGGCTTGCCACCGGGAGTCGAGGTAATGGTAGGCCCGGGTACCTAGAGGAGGGCGGTGCCTAGGATCCGGGTCCGGGAACGATAACGGGCACGAGACGTGCGCCGACACTGGACGAGAGGTGAATGCCCGCTGCCGGGAGCCGGGGTCTGGGAACGATAGCGGGCCTAGGCTTCGGGAACCAGACGAGAGGTGAAGGCTCGCTGCCTGGAGTCGAGACAATGGTGGGCCCGTGTGCAGGGAGGAGGGCGAAGCTTGGGAGCGATAACGGGCCTGGGCGTCAGGTCTTGGCGCAATAATGCATCAGGGAAAGCCGGGCTTGGAGGGAGGAACCCTCAACTAGAGGCCATCGCGAACCACTGTTTGATTTAGTGTTGGTGGGCCATGGTACAATTGTGTACCGATTGGAGCTGGACGGGCCTGACTCAATATTTCACTGGAGAGAGTTGTGGGCATTGTTTGAGGAGATGGTGAGCTGGTGTAGTAAAAATATTTTCCCTTTAATTTCTCACTTTCCCCTTATCCTGCCATTCACCACCGTCAACCTCACCACAAACTTCCTCTCTCTTTCTTCCTACGCTTTCTCTCTCTTCCTCTTCTCCGAACATAGACAGAGCAATCTTAGCTCTGCTCTGGTTGTATTTCAAGTGATCAATTCTCCATGCAACCGCCTAACGAAATTTTGTCTATCTAAAAAATTTCATAAGTAGATAAGATTATAATCGAAAAACAACACTGCGACAACTCTAAATTGCAGGGGAAGAAGAAAGCATTGCATCGGCGACCGTCGGAGCGACAGGGCTGGATCTGCTAATTGGGTAATCTAAATCCGAGCACGCCCAGAGGAAATTGCTCCATATAAGCAAGCGATCATCATCCACAAGATCTTGAAGCTTCAGAGCAGCCAATGCTTTTATCCAAGCATCCACCCTCTCCTCTGTAAACCCAGCAGTCACTGACGAACCCAGCCGCTGCAGTTTCCATCTTCTCCCTGCTAACCCTAAACTTAGCTCGACGATTCGCACTCCTCCAAATATAATTCGCGAATTAACAAAGAATTTGGGACAAAATCGCGTTTTTTGTGATCTAGAGCCGGGGGGTAAATGAGCGAATTGGTAACCTAAGTCAAATCAACAGACGACGCTAAGTTGTTCTGTACTTCTATTCGGAATGTGACAGCTGGTACCACTGATCATCGCCGATTAATTTTTCTTTTTAAAGAAGGCGAAACGATGGGGCCGTCGATTATGCCACGTCAGACTCGAGAACCAACAAGAAGAGATATTGGTTTTCGTTTGACACATGGAGTTCCACGTCGGGAAGACTCTCCGGCAAACGGGGAATTTGACGAAACAAACAAGATCAAAAATTCGAAATCGTCGAGGGACAGTTTGTGTTTTGGTCATTATTCTTCTATCTATTGACAAATTGATCACTGAATTTTCTGTTCGACTTTTGTCCGTGAGCAGAATATCTATCAGCTGCATCGAATCAATTATTATAAAGTTGACTAGTTTGTGACCCGGCCCGTTGGCCAAAGGAGCTCAGTCGAATATTGAATTATTGGGATATTCGGCTCAGTTCCTCCGACCAATGGCTCGGGTTGGAAACATCATAAAATAAAATCAGTTCTCAACATTTTTTACTGTCACACTACGTATGGCCTATGGGGATTACTTATTGGAAAATGAGAATTTGGATGAATATTTCTATATTTACGACATAGATATCAAGTAAGCTAAATTTATTAGTGGAGGCTTTCATCCCTTAATGGCCCACACCCAAAACTTGACCACCTTTCGGCATAAATTCTTCAGCTAGAATTTGAAAGATTTGACAATGGTAATTATTTTCTATTTTCCCCTTATGCTTTATTTTTATTCTTATTGGAAGTTAACATGAATCTTTGGAACCCCCTTGTGCTTTATTTTTATTCGTATTGGAAGTTAACATGATTTGTTTTACTATAGCACAATCTTTGGAACCTTGAAGCGGAAGTTAACAGATTACTTAATGACGCCGTGGAAGGAAGGAGCCTTTAGGCTGCTATTACATTATTAACACAATCAATTTCGACTTCTTGTTGTCGCAAACACACAAAACAAGGTTGTTTGTGTCGTAAAGTGACACAAATGCGAGCTGCTAGTGTAAAGAACACAAACAAAGGGAAGCTACAATGGTAATAAACACACGGGCACTACTGTTGTTGCCATAACACATACCAATCCTTGTTGTTTTCAACTTCAAATTCCATTTTCATTGTATAATGACAACTGAAACTATGCACAATTTAAAAGCCTGAATTTGGTAAAAATCAAACCAGTCACAAATAGTATAGTGATGAAAAACACACTACTAAACATAGGTTCATAATAGGAACATTAACTAAACAATGTTTCCAGCAATACTACCTCTCATCCTTAGTCAAAGTCGAGCACATGCTCCTTTTCTGCCTCTTTAAGGTACTCCAATATCCTCAGAACATGGATTAGTGTTGCTAGTTTCCTCCAAGTTTTCAGCAATCAAATCAGTTCTATCCTTGTAGCTTTTGTCAAGACAAGTTCTGGGACATCATCTCCCACGTAAGAGCTGAACATATAATCTAACTCACACAACTCACTCAACTTCACTATATATTGGAGCCGAAGAGTCAAAGTTCATCGCCCAATAAATAACTGATTCATAAAGGAACCGTTAAGTTTACCATAAAGCATAATCATAATAAGCAAGTTACAGAAAACCAACTATTTACAATCAAAAGCCACAATTGACCTTAACATAAAGTAAGAAAGTGATAAGCAACACATAAATGAAGATGATTTACAATCCAATTATCCACTATAATCATTTATTTTCTCTTAGCCCTCTCAAGTCATGATTTTGAGAACCACGAAGTGCACTACTTCATCAGTTATATCCATCTTAGAAATCATAAATTAAACCTGCCTAGTAATGACTTTAGACTATAGTGTAAGAACATGGATATAAAGAACTAATTCATAAAATATGAGATTGGTGTAGAGGTCCATTCAATGGAGTCAGGGTAAAAATACCTCGATGACTGAAACTAACCTCTTCCTAGTATGAGTTAGTCGTAGCTACTTACTATTGCCACCTCCCAAGCTCAATTCAACAGAATTGGGACTATAATCCTGCAAGAGAAGTTTCCTTTTTTGTTATAGAATAGTGTAATATTTAAAGGATCAGAAATACACCTCAATATTTTTATTCTACTTTTGATTAGGAGTTTTTTAGCCGCCAATGCCATCATCTGTTGTAGTACTGAGGAAATCATGAGCGGTGTTTTAGGAGTCTGGTAGTCGGAAAGGGGAAACCCTTGATGGAGGGTTGGATTTGTAGGGTGAGACTTGAGTTAACAGATAAGAAATAAGGAATTCTGCTTCCATTTGACTTTCGTTAGACAATGAACATGTTCAGAGAAGGGGCAAAGATCCCATGGCTTCAATCTTGATAGCTAATAGTAGGAACTCATTTGGACACCCTGGACAACTTGATTAGGGAAAGATGTTGTCAAACACATAACAATGGAGCCATCATTCATTCCCAAACTAAGGCCACAACATGGGATATCACAGGAAATATAAAAGCATGTAAAAAAAGACTGTATTGATTGTTGGGGAGCAACCATTCATAAAAAAAAAGACATGTATTCTCATCTAGCTCGGTAGCATCGAATATGTTTGAGTGACTCACTGCCCTTTTCAAAATTTTCCAACTTGGGCCCAGGGTGTGATGGGACCAAATTTCGGCTCAATTTATTTGGTCTAACTGATTCAGTACTTGTTTTTGAACCTTAAATCGAATTCGAGGTGTCACATTTCCTCCCTCCTTAAGACAAATTTCAACCTCGAAATTTGTTCATTGATGATAACCTAAAGTCTCACTTGAGGTAATCCTTCTGTTGCAGGGACTTATACTTCCTTATCACCGTTTGGCTTGGGAGTTCTTGTACGATCTCTTCTACTGTTCTTAGACCTTGCCTGAAATTCCTCGTACAGTTTCCCTGTCCAAGAAATTTTCACCCAAGAGGTCGCCACCTTTCACCCTCATAGGCGGTCTGGGTTTCACATTGGGGTACCATAGCAAGTTCCCTAAACTCATATCCATCTTACTTCCTTACTCGTGACTCTTTTTCCTGATGTTCCTCGTTAGTTCAAGATGTCCCTCGTACTCGATGTAGTCATCTAAGTTCTCAAATTCTCTTCTTTCTAATGTACCTTGACCGATAAGGTTTTCCCTTCGACCGTTCTGGACCACCACACTTCTACTTTAAAGTTTACCATTGAGCTTCTCAGTGCTTGATGGGCTTCCTATGGTCCAACCTATTCTCCACTGGCAATCACCTTAACGCCTCCTTGTTGACCTTCGTATTCTTTCGTCGGCTCTTCCTAACTATCTTTCTCCCTGAATTTTTTGTTTTATCTGCCACACTTTTTTCACCATAACTTTCATTATAGCCTTGTGGTTTCCTCCTTACTTCCACAACTCCCTCATCGATGCTTGGTACTAGCTTTGATCTACTCAGTTTAGTAGCTCCTCGCCATACCTCAGAGCCAACATTTCCACTAGAAACTTTCTCTAGGTAGACTTGACAGATGACACCCACGACTTCTACTCACGATGGTGCTTGACCAAGTCCCAACTATCTTCCTTCACGCATTCATTGTCCGGTCGACAACCACCTTTTTTTTATTTCCTACAGCGTCCTATTGTGTTCTCCTTGCTTCTTTACTTTTACTACCCTTCTGTTGATGCTTTGTACTATTTTCGGTCACCAAACTTTGTTGAGTATCTTCTCATTGTTGTTTTGGGTCAAAGCTTCCAATAGTGGCTTGCCCTTGGTAGGCTTGAACATACCTCATCCACGTCTTTTGTCTCGATCGATGCTTGTACAAAGCCTTAATCTCTTAGTCATGGCTCTTAGTGGCTTAACTAAATATCACTAATTTATCCTTAACTGGCCTTCTTTTATTGATGACATCCTACTATGTCGTACTCGCTCAGAGTGGGGCACCTTGGGTAAGGTAACTTAATGATTTCCTCCTTCTTGGTAATGCTTTTCCTCGTCGTACTCCACTATGCATTTTCTTGAACACGAGTCACCTACACATATTCTCAATCCTTCATCGGAACTTCAATGTGTTTCCTCGAATTCTCTGCCATTCACTAGAACATTTATCGAACATTCCACTTACTTGTCTATACTCGGTTGGGTTAATGACTTACTCTATAGCTAGTTCCGAGACCTCAGCTCTTAGCCCTCTAGTTCCAACTTAGTAGAGAGGTTCCTCCTTCTGCCACCCCTCATGTACCCTAGGAGGCTAGGTGTCCTCTATTTAAGAGAGGACAATCCCATAACAGATCATCGTGAACTCTTGCATACCCCTTCCAACGGTCCCAACATCCTCATGACCTTTTGTGATCTGGGTAGTTTGTAGGGTCTCTACTATCCTCCTTCTAACTCGGTTTTATCTTGGTATCCAACTCATGCACTTCTGAGAAGTGGTTCTCTATTCATACTGCCATCTACTAGCTAACTGTTATTCTCTCCCACATTCCATGTCTTTTCTTATGTATTGACTCCCCACTGTCTTCTACCAAGCATGCTTTAGACTTTGGTGGCACTTTCCTCCACATCTCGTCCAATGGTGGTCGTACTTAGACCATAACTTGCCCTCTACATCATTTATCTCGTTGCTTGTCTTGTTCCTTCTAAAGCATTTTCATCGGCCTAACTTCCCAGGGTTATGTACCCTCTTCTCTAGATAACGTAGTTTATCTACAAGGGTTCCTTCATCATCATATGTAAATGACCATGCCTCCTCTCCTCCTCAATCTATTGACTTCTTGACATCCTTTCAGACCCCCTCTAACCTACTTACTTCCTCATTTACTTCATTTACACTACCCTAGCTTCTCTTGAAGTCTAAGCTTTTCACTGCTCCTTGTTACTGTGTTGTAATAGCGTTGACCACTAAAACTAGTTGAGGGACTTCTCGTGGTGCCTCTTCGTTTCTTGGCTTGTTGCTTCCTCGCCACTAGTTAGGGTCAAGGACCCTGAAATCCTCCCATCATTATAGCTACTGACATCTAGTGACTGTAGCTCTTTCTTCGGAGACTCATAGTTCTCCTCTTTGTATATCTTAACCTATTAGATCACTTGCTAGTGCTCCTCGTAGTGCTCCTTTAACTCCTTTCATTCCTCGCACCTATACCTCGGGATAGAACTTCGCGGTTGGCGTACCCTTTTATGAGGACTAACGTTATTTATCTTAATACGATTAGAGTAGACTGGAGATTCTATAGACTCTTAAAAGGAGACCCTTGACTCATTTTCCTTTCCTTTAAAACAAAACCTTTAAAAATGAGACCGACATTCCAGTATTCCTTGGAAACCAAGGAACAGAGGAAGACCGGCTCTGATACCAAAATGAAACACCCTAACCCGGCCGGGTACTACTTTTACTAAAATGCCCTTGATAAATAAAATGCTCAAATCTTAAATTTCAGCGGGAAAAATTTTCATAAATAAAATACTGAAAACACACACTTGTAGTTCAGAGCAAAGCCCTAACACGTGGGCAAATTAAACTCAAACTTTAAATCTCAATCTGATCTCCAGTCTATACTCATAATCATAAAATGTAAATAACTAGGTAGTCTCTGTCGTTGCTGCTACTGAAAATCTTAACTAGGCATCCTCCGTGACGCTTGCACTACCCTCTTCTAGCTAGTTGCTCTCGAACTTTTCCTCTCGAACTCGCTGCTCTCTAACTGCTCCTCTAGCTAGATGCTACCGATCTGGTTCTCGCTCATTCCCTTAATAAGGCCTGGTGAGTGAGTTGGGGTCAGTCTACGCCCTTACGTTTTAATAATTCTAATACTTGAGTACTTTACTTAAACACTTAACTTTGAATAGTGGAAGTTGTTTGTACTTCCAATCTTAAAATCTTAACTCTTAAACTTTGAGGGAGTTGAAGTTTCTCTCCTCTCTTAAAGCTCAAATCTTGACTTAAATACTTGACTGACACGGGGATCCCTCACTAGCTAGTCCGGTTGCCAACTCATACGTATGAGAAGCCATCCAGGCTTTCCTTAAACTTAAACTTAGTTAGGGGAGTCGTAACGATTCATCCCCCTAACATCTTAAACTTATCGTGGTGGCTCTTCACCACGATTCTCAAGAGCATAACTGCTGCTCATCTTAAAGTCTCAAGAGCATAACTGCTGCTCTATCTCAAAATGTCTCAAAAGGCAACGGACTAGCGCTAGTGACTAAAAACACTTAAAACGACTTCACCTTCTTTAATGTGAGTTACTTCTTAAAAATAACTTGTTTCTTTAACTTAAACTTACTTGCAAGTAAAGCACACAACAACATAAAACTGAAAGCATAACTCACACAAATGATATGACATCATATAAGCATACAAAGGCAATTACGGCACATAGCAGTCAAATCTCAAAAACTTAAATACCGTAAGGCGTAGAATTTACCCCCTTTACACTCACCTGACTATATAGCTAAAATCCATCGGCTTCATGAACTAGGTACTCAAAAAGATGTCATGGAACAGCTTAGCATTTAATTGACGATGCTTCCCGATCAACTCCATTCGTCTCGGCCGCCAAAAATCAACCACAACAAATCGCCCAAGCCATGTTAAAGCACCTCCATATTTACTTAACCATTTCACTTGATATCCTTCTATGAAGTAACCAAATGCGAGTAGTGTAGGCAACTTACCCAAAACCATACGCTTCTGCAATTTTTCGCTTGTCGGTGGAATTTATGGAGAGGGGCCATGTTTTGGATTTGGTCCTGCTCGTATCCAAATCCTCTTCCACTGACTCATTATTTCGGCCTTCTTGCTTAAGCAGGAAGCTGGGCATCAATAATGTCAATCTCCCTGGTCCGTTGTTGAAATCGTAAGAAGGCAGCTGACGTAGTAGCGGGGCACGTCCATTATCCGAAGCAGGCAGGTCTAAGCAAGCACCTGACATAGCAGAGAGAAGCACATCCATTCTCAATCAGGCACGTCCATTATCTGAAGCAGGCCGGCCTAAGCAAACACCTGACATAGTAGAGAGAAGGTCGTCCATTATCAATCAGGCAGCTGTCGTAGTGGGAACATGGATATCGCTGCCCCAGGCTAGCTGCTCCATTAGGAAGCAAGCAACTCTAGCAATATAAATCGCCCCCGCAGCTAGGGCTGTTAGCGGTGCGGTTTCGGTTTCGGTTTTAACCGAACCGCCAACACGGTTAACCGCAGCCGACAATCATCCAAAAACCCCAACCGACACCGATTGTCTCGTCGGTTAGCCGAAAACCGCCGTTACGGTTTCGGGTCGGTGTCGCGCTTAGCTGAAGATCGCCGCAGGGGGTGGATCTGGCCGAATTTCTGGATCCGACTGTCGAATCTCGCCGCCAAATCGCCAAATTTCTGGATGGAATTGGGGGTGAGATGGCAATTAGAACCGGCGAGGATCCAAGAGGGAAAATCGACAGAAGTAGGGGGTGACAATCACCCCTTGCATGTCTTCTTTTCTTCTATCAAGTGACGGCGACGGACACCGAGGAAGGCATGGCGACGGCGACGGACAACGAGGAAGCAGGGGACGGAGATGGCGATGGACGATCGATCTTCACTAGAGCAAGCCAACAACGACCCTCTTCTCCTTCTAGGCCTTTGTTCGCTGAATCTCGACTATCGCCGCTTTCTTATCGGCGAAGGAGAACCAAATCGCCGCTTTGTGACCTTGGATCTGGAGGATACAGGGAAAGGAAGAAAGGGGGAGAGGTGGAGAGCGGCTAGGGGAGAGGGAGAGACAAAGGCGCCTTATTGTTTTTCGATACGGGTTAGCGATGGAGGAGGGAGGAGAAGGGAACGGAGAAGAAGGGAGAGACTGGCGAGAGGAGAGGGAAAATCTTGTTGTCTTGGACGAGGAAGAGGAAGAGAGTGGGGGTTGCAAACTTGCAGTGGGAGACTAAAGGGGTGAGAAGTCGGTTTTTCGGTGAACCGAGTTTATTTCGGTTACTTCACTCGCGGTTTTCGGTTAGAATTATAACCCAAATCTGCCAACCGACGCCGACACCGCCAGACTATTATCGGTTTTCGGTTCGGTCTTTAACCGATGGTTCGGTTCGGTTTAACCGGCAACCGATTATCACCCCTAGCCGCAACTGTCGCCAATTGCCTAAGCAGGCTGCTCTCGTAGTAGCCGAGAGAGCAAGCTGCTCTCGTACTAGCGGGGAAAAGCAGCCCTACGTCGATGTCGTCCCCCACGAGCAAGCTGCAGCCCGGTGCCTCTGCCTCCCTTAGCCGCCTTGCTTTTGCCTTGATTTCCTAAAAGCAAGCCACCTCATGCTTGCTATCTTCCCCCATCGTTCACCTGGTCATAACAAGGGGACGAGCTTGCTTAAACAAGCAGCTCTCGTAGTAGAGGGAATGAAATGCTCCTGCCTCCATTGGACGATGGCCCCCTTTGCTTTTGCTTTCCCGAGTCCCTTGCTTTCTGTGCAGAGGTGAAAGGCTGCGTAGGGTTTTAATTAGTTTGAGTATTTCCGAGTGGAGCGTGAGATTAGGGTTGAGGTTGGGGTTTAATTAACTCAAGGGATATTTTGGGAATTTCATAAATCAAGGGTGAGTTTAATCCGAAACTCAACTAACGTACGTAACTTACTCGATTTATGTCGAAACTCGACATTGTTTGAATCGAGAGTTCGCATTTTAGTCCTCCTGGATATTACGATGGCATTTGACAAATTTCACCAAGGGTATAATAGTCATTTTGACTTTTTGGAAGAGCGGGATGTTACAATTAGTTTAATTAAAGTTATTAGTTTAATTGAAGTACCTGCAAATACATGGTATCATGGACTTGCAACATCCGGAAGGCCATGGTGCAAGTTGTGGGGTCAAGGAATATCTCTCTTCTCCTTGTTGCCAACTTCTGTAAATTTCGTCTAGAGCCAGCTTTAATCTCGTTCACTAAGTGGCAACGGATTCCTAAACCAACAACAGCGACAATGAGGCAGAGCTGGTCGTGAGTTCCGTGCGGGTAAATAACTGGAACTGAATTCATCAAAGAGACAAAGACAATAGCTAGGAGTTTATGAACCCTAGCAAGCAGCTAAAATTAGCAATCAGGAACTTCATCAAAACAAAAGTGATCGGAATACACAAATTGAGGATACAATTAATTAGGAGTGGGTCAAGAAATGGAATAGATTCAAGAAGGAAGATGGAAGCAGAGAGTGACCTTGAGAACTGGTGATGCAAAGCGGGCGATGGATTTTATGGAAGACATATGGAAATTCGACGGTGGCGGTGGTGGAGATACCGCCAATGCAGTTTACAACGCGATTGAAGGAAAGAATCACCGAACATACCCCAGCTTCAATCCCTACATGGACACTATCGCTAGTGTGCGATTCCTCGACTGAGAAGTGAGAAGCGAATCGCTACAGCTGAAATGCAACCAACCCCGTCAGACAGCAGCCATGAAGAAGCATCGTCGTCCGGGTCCAGTCGAAACACCTCGCCCATGTAATGTAGGCTCTTGGTGTTGTGAGGATGGACCAAGTGAAGAGAAGAGTTTCTGATCTTTGAAAACTGTTTTGACAATTTAGCATAACTCAAACTGCTGTGATATTTTGTTTGTGGGCCGAGGCCCAGTCAGGGCTCAAGGCGGGATTTACTCCCTCGGGGACAGAAAGAGAGATGATTTTTTTGCCAAATATACCCCTCCGAAAAACGCTCGATTTTTGAAATGGGGATTCTGTTTTTCCCTTCCTTTTATTATATTATGTGTAGATTTGGACAATGGTGACACAAATCACCGGCAGCATAGAATCTCATCCGGACATATTTTATCAATAACATTTTTAACGATAAGAATGAATCGTATTTGATTGAATTGCTAATACTATTGATACTCAGTAATGTTCACAAATATAAGCATCAATATTCATATGATGATCGACGAAGAATACAAGACCCGAGTCCACCAAATAATAGTATTTGAGATCGATGAGAAATGAGAACTGAAGTTCTCCGAGAAGAGAATCTGTCTCTCTCTTCCTAATCATAAGTGTATGATCTTATCTCTAAACTCTTCGCAGGATCAGCCTAAATCCAAGAAGATCAAACAGAAAAAGCCTAAATCATAGGCAATCACAATTAGTAACAGTTGATAGTTATTTGGCTGAAGTCTGAACCAATATCCTTATCACTATATGTCTGGATGATATTAAAGTTAAACACCAACTAGGAGGTGGGTTTACTGGTGGAATCTACTGTATATGAATTACATGGAAGTCATATGAGATTCCAAATGGCTCCATGAAATTTTTGAAGTTTAATTTGTTTGGTTGAAGCTGAGGGTGATGTTCGTTCTGATTTGATGTGGAGGAGATGGGCTGGGCGCGCACATGTGGGAGACTCAAGGTTAAGAGGACAATAGTCTCTGGAAAGGAACAAGTGGGGATGTTTTGGATCATATTTAATTCAGATTCAGTGCCCCAAAAGTTGGCCAATGCTAGATTTGGATCATAGAAAGAACAAATCCTTTACCGTAAATCAAGGTGGAGTCAATCATTATAGGTGAGTTATACATAAAGTACATGGTCCTAGGTTGGTCCATATCCATAAATTGGGTTTCACCAAAATCATCTAGATTTTGAGACTGTTATATATTTATATAGTGTTATTCACGATGATTTAAGAGATTCATCTGTTTTTTTTTTTTTTTATCTTCAGCTATATGATGATTGTCGATTTACTCAAGAGAGTTGGTTCATCTCACACACATTTGTAGATTCATATTAGTATGAAGACTTGAGTCTCAATTCCACAGAACAAAAATTTGAGATCACTAGTAACTTTCTCAGATATCATTTTGACTTCCCCAACTATGTTATCATTTCAACTAATTGCCCGTTATCATTTTACTATCACTTGAAATCGGATTATATATTAGTCAATTGGAAGTCACAGTGTGTGGGTTTATACACATCTATTTTCTGTTTTGGGTCTGGTCTATAACCTTTTAATTTTCATTTTGGATTAGGGTTAGGCTGTTTGGGGAAGGTGCTATGTCGTTATCAATCCCTCTGTAATTTATATATACTCAAATATAGTGAAATTGTTCTCTCCCGTTTGTGGTCATAGCTAACACATATTGTATTATGGAACCACGTAAACCTATACGTTATTTATTTTCTTGTATTGTCGATTCTCTTTATCTTCTGACAATTATGATTATAGCAAGTTCATCTCGTACACATGTCGTAGGTTCAATTTGGTGTAAATTTCAAGACACCAATAGGGTTAATATATATAAAGCTGAAGTGCAATTGCTGTTCACTAAGAATATTCTATTTGATTGGCCTATTGGTAATAACGATGATTTGATTCGTATGAGAGAAGAATTGGGGTGGCGAGAAGGAGGTTTAGTTATTTTTGGGAAGGAGGAGAGAAAAATTGGAGGTAGACAAAAGAATGGTAGAGTTGGAGTGGTGAGAAGGCATGTTTAATTATTTTAGAAAGTATGAGAGAAAAAAATGGAGGTAGACAAAAGAATGGTAGATGTATAGGTGGTAATTTATAATCCAATACATCCATTCAATTTAATTCATTCACTTAAATATTCAATTAATTCAATTAATTTGATTTACAAATAATTAGCTTGATGGATTCATTGATCGTTGACAAGTTACAATTAAGTACATGTATTTTTATATATTTTACAATTCGGTATCTAAAATTAATTTTTTACAAAAAAATGTCGTTGAAAAATTATAGTTTGGCCTCATGCGATTCATTACCGACCAAACCGTTGCACACTCATTGGGTTAATTATTTAAGGAAACCAAGATATTATGTGGGCATGGAAGTCCACTGCTACCATCTTTTTATATAATCTAATTATCATTTTTACGTTTTTGTCTAACTATAAATAATGATTGATGGCGAAGAGAAAATTTAATAGTTATAATATAAATACAAATTAAACAGGTAATGCAATTCACGATCGGCAGCCGTGTAGCGCGGGGCTTTTCTAGTCATTTTTATAAATAGATTTTGAGATGGATATGAAATTACTTACCTGTAAGATATGTACCCCTCACACACTTGTAAAATGAACTTTGTGGTTGAGCACTTGTTTCACAGTGATCACAGTTATGGTTTTCACTTTCACATCTACATCCAAAACTACACCAACATATTGGTCTGGTAATTCCCCCTGGGTATCATCATGCCTGCATTGCATTATTGTACTTTGTAACTCTGTTCCATACAGAGAAAAACAGATCATTGCATTATTGGCCTACAGGGATTAGGGTTTGAGATTTTGAGGGTTAGTGAATGACCTTGGCCTGAGAACAGGGTGTGCCCCAAAGGCTCAAGGGAAGTGTACAAAGTGGTACGTTGTGACAAAATCCAGAAGGGAATTTGCTAGTTTTGGAAAGAGGAGATGGGGGCAATGGAAAATTGAAAGGAAAGGAAAGGAAAGGGATGGGCATAATGAATGAATGGTTTTTAAAAACATGACATGCTCTTAGACAAGGACCCTGAAGATAGATAGATCTTGGAACGTTTTGATTGAGAAAGAGAATTATGTGTGAGCTTAGTCTTTACAGATTTATATCGGATCTGGTATCTAAAATTGAATGGTGTTTGCCTTCGCCATTATCTTATCACTCTTAATGTATTCATCTTTGAAATTATCGTTTAAAATAATTTTCTCGAAGATTATGGGACTAATTTTACTAACATGTTGTTCCAATATGGATTTTAGAATTTATCCATTTTCGTCTTTGAATTTGGTAGAAATTATGTTTCTTAGATTTACCTTAATGCAACTTCCTTTAGTTTTTTTTAATAGACAATTATAAAAGATGATCGATGTAACTTATATTTTACTCAAACATTTCGTCCGAGAATATCTCAAATTTATAACAATACATGCATACGTGCAGTAAAATGATTAGAATTCCATATATTTTAAGAGCTATCAAACCACCCCCTAAATAGACTAACCAACTTACCATTGTTTCTTTACTTATAATGGCAAATGTAGCACTTCACTCACTCACCACATATGGCACAAAAACTGAATAAAGAAACAAGAGTGGTTATCTTATTTCAATCTCACAGAACAAACAAAAACACAGCGCACATGATTGGTATCATGAGAATGGGGGGAAATTCTTTTGACAAGCTAACCAACATGCTAAAACCTTTTTCCTCCTTGTGGCATCCCGTGACAAAAACAAAGAGCTTAATCATAGTTTGGCATCTTTTGAGGTTGCTTTAGCTTCAAGCTTTGCTGTGCCTGTCATTTCAGTTCTCTGTATCAAACCTTAATCCCATCTGTTTCAGTTTTTTAAACCTCCCCAACCCTAATCCAGATCTGGCTTTATTTTATTACAGTAGATCAGTCCAAAACATGATTAGTTGATTGCTGATGTATCAAACCATGTTTTGTGAGTGCAAGAAGGGTTTTGTATGTTGTTTCCTTCAAGTGCAAGTTGCCTTGCTAGTTGCTATCCTGAATACTGATGTATTAATCTATGTTCTAATTATATTAATCACAATTCAAATAATGAATCATATGAATTAATTGAGCAAAATTAGTACAGCATACACTCCCCCATTTTATTAGAGAGACACAAGTCCCTTACAATTGGAACCTATCCACCTCCACAACCTACTAACATTACCAATAAAACAATAAATAAATAGCATAATTCTTCACCATGTACATGTTCAACATATCAGAGATCTTGACAGAAGAAAAAAAAAGGCTGCTGTGTAGATTCCTTGCTTGTTGCTCCACCCTATTTGCCAAACTGAGGATTAATCATGGTACTTTCCAGAAAGCAGAACTTGATCACTTTCTGGGTTTTATTATCTGCTCTTTTCCCATTCCTTATCATCATGATCGTCAGCCCTTGTTTGGGTTGTAGGAATTGGTGTAAGTGGTTACTTGGGAAGCCATTCTTGTGCTTTCTAACTTCCTCTGACCTTTAGTCTGGAAGCTATTGGTACCATATCTGCCTTGCCTCTGCTTCCTTCTTGGCTGTGTTGACTGTGGGATAAACACCCCTGTCCCTTTGCTCTCCCTTCTGCAATTCTGCTCATACATGAATGGTGATTGTGCTGCTGGGTAATACACTCTCGAGTATGCCTGCTGCCAAAAGATAAGGTATTAATTACACGTCAGTTCCGATGTTCAAAATTCCCAAGCTTCATATACAGAGAAGAGTGAAAGATTTGGTTAGGAAAATGATTAAAGATAGGAACTTTAGTGAACCTGGAAGGTAACAGAAGAGGGAGGAGCAACTGGGTCTTCATCATCATCCATAATGAGGAGAGAAATCTGCTTGCTCAAGTCAGCAAAGAACAAGTCATCTTCTAACTCCATAGCCACCTCCATAAGCAAAATTGCTTACTTCTTTTCTTCAGTAACGAACCAGCAGCCCTTGAAGCAGACAGTAGTTTTGCAGTTGAAACAGAATATAACTGAGTGTGGATATATGAAGATCAGGACTTCTGTGGTCTATGAGGATTCCTTCTTTCTCTCTCTCGTTCTCCCTTCTGTTTCTTTTTCCTTCCTGTGAAATGGGCAAGTGTGGGCTTATAAATAGGAAAAAAGAGGGAAAGAGGATAGTAGAAGGAAACAGTAAGCAAAGCAAAGGGGAAAGGGGAAAGGAGGAGGGGCTGCATGTGAGGTGGTAGGGTATGGTGACAGTTGGCCTATCTGGCTAAGTCCTCACTACCCTACAGGAATCAAGTAGTTGGAGTAGTCCATGATATGATATTATCCAGTTGCTTGATAGAGAGGAAGAAAGGGATGAGGAGAAATCAAAGGAAACAGCCCACACCAAGATATCTCATATCCAAAGATATAGCAGCCTCCAATTCAATCTCCTCAAAACCACTTATATTTTGGTTGCAAACTGTAAGTGGATGGGTCTTCTGGTCTCTCTCTATCTCTTAAAAGCTTCAAAGCAATCCAACTGGTATGGTTTATAATTCATAGTACCCATATCACATACACAATTTTAAAATGGATGAACAATGAATTGTCAATTGTGGGTTTGAGCCTTGGTGGTCTTATCAGATACCACAGATCCTTATCTTACAAGGCTTCTTCTGTCTTTGCATTGGCTCCCAGTGAAAGTTATTCTATAAGAGGGAAAAAAGGATCTATCTTGGATTTTATCACTGAGCATTATTGGATTTGGATTCAATGCAAATACCCTCTTGAGGTGGGGACATGGCAAGGCCAGTGTCATTCAATTGTACTGATTTATTAACTGGTAATGAATCAAACCTTAGCTGATAAAAAAAGAAAGAAAGAAAGAACAGTTGAAAAAAGGTCGAGTTCCAGGAAACAAAGGGGGAAAGATAGCTTCCATGGCTCAATTATTGACTCGAATGTGGATAAGGGGACGGTGCCAGCACCAGGTCAAGCATTAAACTGATATTAAGAAGACGAGTGAGTATCTTTTGCAACCGTCAAAGCCAGACCAGACAAGGTCCAATAATGAGGCATGCAGCAATGGACCAAGTATATAAATTTTCCGAATGAAATCTGGAGGCTGGTTTCTTGGATTTCGTTAACCTGTATTATAGATTAATCGAGTCTCAAAATATTAAGAGTTCCATACCAAAGTGAGTAAAGGAGAAAAGGGTCAGCAATAATTTGTGATATGACAATACAAAGAAAATCCATAGCCCCAGAATCAGATAATCTGCTGCAAAATTGATTTTCATAGTATATCGAAATAAGATGCACTTCTCAATGGAAGACGAGCGCTTGGCCTTCGCCAAGTGGCAAGGGTAAAAATGAAGGATGGTGGTAGGTTTGGAGTTTATTAAACAGCTGCAATATGACTTTCGCTGTTCATTTTGCGCATGCCCAAGTGCCTGAATCATAGTGTGTCATTTGGTCCACACGTTTTGGTGGCCTGGCTGGCTGAAAAGGGACCCAGAGCTCTCCCAGAACAAAGGACGGGGGAGATCTCCATAATCCCATCCCCCATATGAGGTTGCTTTCAACTTCAAGTGTTGTTTTGGAAAATTTGGAGTTTCCTCCATCCTGAAGAACAATTTCCCTTTTGCACAGTACTTACGTACTACAGTGTTGTTAGCTGTAAAACGTTCCTAACTGCAACCGCTCCTGCTCATCTTTGCCTAATTGATTTGTCTGATGGTTTGCAGTCAAGTAAGACTATATGTCCTCTGACAATTCAAATGAATGTCTCTTTTCATACTTCTGGACTTCTGGCAATACATTTAATTCCCTTTGTTGATTGCTTCCTCCAATTTTGAAAGGTTCAAAATATGTATACTTGATTCAGACAGCATCAAGGCTCTGATCATCAGAACTTCCATCTGCTCAAGCCCTAATAAGTAGAAGAAAGGAGGATCTTTGTCGTCAACTACATCTGTATTAACTAATCTCTGACTATGAATGATGATCTTATAGGGAATATTAACTAATCTCCGTGTTACGAGTGATCTTACGATAAGGTAAACGATTATCATATTGAAAGTTCTAACATAAAACTTCTGGGTTATTTTGATAGTGATTGATGTTTGAGCTGTAACACAATGGAATAGTGAAGGGGAATTCAGCTTTACTTCTCAATCAAGCATTGAAGCAAGCATATTATGTATCACTTCACACCACAACATGAATCCAATTTTCTAAAAGGGATGGCTTCAATTCCATGGCATGTCAAACAATTCCCTCACTTTGTCAGAGGACATTTTCCACTGAAAAGACTGCTCTTTACCATGTGCAACAGCATGTGATGATGAAATTTTCGACGAGAAAAAAAAAAGGTTCATCAAATCGACATAGAAGCTAAAGTTGTCCACCCGAGCTTCCTCCGCTGTACATAATAACCCTCTCACGGGGGATAATCAAAAACAATTCTACGGGTTGATTGACGACAGTAAGGTGCCTTCTTCATCACTGCACGTGCTGCACTCTGTAAGACAACTTCAACACCTAGAAGAAGAAGGGGAAAACCCCTCAAGTTTTGGCCACAAACCTCTACTGCTATTAGCTTCTGCAGCTTTATGCACCGCCGGCCATGTCCACATCTGTAACTCCATCGATCCCCTTGAAAACGATGCGCAGTTTCCTCAGGCATGATGTCTTTTTATCATCCTTAATGGTCATACCAGTAACGTGCAAGATGTCCTTTGGAACTTTACCCATGAGCTCGTAAAGTGGCAAGCTTAGATTTGATCTGGTCATCTCTTCCAGAACTGGTGGTGCTTGCATGTACAGATTCTTGCCTCTGTGTGTCACACTTGCTTTCGACAAGTGGAGTACTGAATGTTCCTCGAGCAGATCAATGAACTGGCATGAACAAAAAGGTAGATGAGAGGTGAATATCGATATTACTTCTGCATAGTGTCAGCAAAACTGAAGCTTCAAGATAACAGCCGTTTGTGAAGAGGCAGAAGAATTAATTACCTTTTGAAGAGTAACTGAAGCGTCCAGCTCGATAAGAACACCTGGACCACAAACAAGACAGTCCTTCTCCTTCTCAAATTCAGTCACCTTAATGTGCAGGCCTTCCACACCATTGTATCTGGCAAAAGGTGACAGCTATTTCAGTAAACTTGTTCAATTAAGTCTAAATCAAATGAATGACAGTATAGAGAGAGAGAGAGAGAGAGAGAGAGAGAGAGAGAGAGAGAGAGAGAGAGAGAGAGAGAGAGAGAGAGAGAGAGAGAGAGAGAGAGAGAGAGAGAGAGAGAACAAATACGTTAGATAGTTTGACAGTGTTTTGCTGCATCCTGATGCAATCTTCAAAGTTTCGAGTGCACATGCAGCTGATATAATTGCATTCGTGGAAGCAATGGCTGGTATGATATTTTTCACAACTCCCTGTGGGGGGAGGGGGAAATCAAGGTGAGAGTTCGGCAAAGCGAGAAATGATGATGAAATTTCCATAAAAGCAGTCTTTCAGAAATTCACTATAGCAACAAAATAGATATTGGCAATGCCGTTCAGATGGCTACATAGGAATGGAAGTTGTCGACACAACAGCTTTACCTGAGTGAGAGAATATGTAACACCTGGAATGCCAAAAAGCTCTGCCCTCTTCACAGCCTACATAAAGTTGCAGAGTTTTCCAGTGAAGAAGAGAATAAAAGTGAAACAAATACCAGATAGGAAAGAGCACTTAATCAAAATTAAGGAATCATTTTTTACCTCATCATAGACCCACTTCATGTGCTCAGGATCATCTGGGTCAAATGACTTTCCACTGTGCGCCTACAAGAATCATGATCATTAAGAAATCAACTTTGTTTCTGCAAAACTTTACTTTACAAACTATAAATGGCACTAATCCATTACCTCGTCCCACTTAATTAGGTGAGCATACTCAATGCAGTGAGCAGCTGTTCTAGGGGTCTCAGCAAGAGTGCATAGAGGGAACTTGACTTGAGGGGGGAACAGCCAGATGGTACACTCAAAGCATGGAGTGGTCCCAGGCAAAATAACTCTGGCATGACCCTTAAAACCTTCAGTGCCACCATCTACAAGAGGTTTCATTGTCTCTTCCCGTGGATTGTCATCAGAATCGTACTCTAAATTTAGAAAAATAACATTAAAACAATGCAAACTGTTAGTCTCGGCAAGAGGCTAACCAGGTTATAAAAGAAGGAAAATGAACACAGGCAAAACATATCATAAAAGGACCCAACTGTGAGATATTGTGAAGAGTACGCACCAAGAAAACCACACGCAACTGCATTTATATAGCTTCTAGCCTCTATTGAATCAAGACCAAGCACAATAATACTGAAATCATTATAAAAGTCGATCTCTTTGTCCTCAATTCGACAAAAATGAGGCACAATATTCACCCCACTAACTCTTTCCATGACACGCTTGGCTGCCACCTCTGCCTTCGGCTTACCAACATCTTGAAGCCTACAACAATGATATCAACATTGTAAGCTGAAACTAAGCAACTAGTGCATCCTTAGACAGAAAGGTTATGTCAAGTTTGTCAACACATATGACATAAACTAAGACTTGCAGTATCTAAGACAAGTATCGAAACAGCAATTTGCAATAGTACTTAAATGACAGCTATAGAGATTGCAAAGGGAGATTGCAAACAAAACCTAGTCACACCTTTTCTCTACCAGGACAAAAAAATAACTCTTCGCATATTTCATATTCTAGGCCAAGCAAATTCTAATGCCTGCTCATGAACTTGTTGAGGAATAACATGCTACTAGCATACTCAACCAACATCACGAAATAGCTTGAATCATTTCAAGAAAGAGAAGTTCCTGCAAGAGGTTTGGTTCAATAGAAGAACTCATACTCTTAATCTAAGTAACCAGCTAAGGAGCAGCTGCAATGCTACAGTTTCAAATAAAAATGTCCGATTATCAAAGCTAACAAACAGTTTAAGAAACTCCCCCGCAAATTGTACTAAGAAACTGCGATATCTATGCTCAAGTCCCTCAAAGAGGAACAATTCTAATTGCTCAACCATCAGAAGCTCACATTGCATAAAACCAAAAGCAAAAAAAGAACAACCACTAAGGGTAAAGCTATGCAAATAATACCTGAACAGGAATTGGCGATTCAAATTAGTAACCTCAATTCTATCCATGTCTATAACCTCTAGATTCTTGAAACCGGAAAGAGCCAAGTCCTTGAGCAGCTCACAGCCCAATCCACCCGCACCCACCACCAAAATTCGAACATACTCCCGAAGATCATCCCTCAACTACAATCAATCCGAAAACAAGCGGTAAACTCGATTGCGCACAAAATGTTCGCCAAATTGTCGATGAGAGAAGACAAAAAAGGCAACAAAAAGACATACTTGCTGACCCGGTTCGAAGTTCTCGCCGACGAGATTTCCTGGCCTGAGAAGGAGCTTGTCCAAGTCCCTCGATCGACTCGGTTGCCCGGCTGAGTTCGCCATTATCGGAGCCCTACCCCTCTTTCCAGCTGCGTCTCTTTAGTAGGTAAAGTTCCGAGCTTTAGCCTCCAAACACAAAACCCAGAGCACGAGATTTTGCGACCCGAGATTGTCCAGAGGAAGGCCGCCGAACCACTTACAGCTGCGAAAGCGGTCCGACTTTCCGAGCTCCACCGCGCTAAATCGTTGCTTCGATTTTACGCGTCGGCTCAACGAGCGGCCGACGGTCTGACTTAAAGCTGCGTTTCTGGTCTTGGCCTAGTCCGACACTGAATGGGGAAAGGAAAAAAAAAAGTAAAGTAATCGTGGAACCTCTTAAAAACTTCAAGGCCTGTACGCAACGATCCAATATGAAGCCCACAAAGTGGCCGATGGTTTTATTACTTCAAAGTTCAGTGGGCAGAGAGCCTTTGGGCACATGTAGTGTGTAAACTGTATGGATCCCAGTTTTGACCCAGCCCACAAACTAAAAAGGAAGTGAAAAAAAAAAAAAGAATCCAGGTTGCAAACCATGTGAAGAGTGAAGACCAACATATGATATCAAACTTGATGAACGAGTTTTCTTGCCCCCCCCCCCCCCCCCCCCCCCCCCCACACACACACACAAAATTGTTAGCAAACATATGACAACACTTTAATTCGGCAGGCACTACTTTTATCTTGAATTACGGGTGTTACATTAGACCTTTTAGGTTCATTTTAAGCTATTAGAAAGTTTAATTGATATCTAATAGGTCACACTAATGACTTTTGAGATATTATTGAAAGATTTCAACATTCTACCGCCACCATCTCAAAGTACTATGACAAAGTATTGAAAACTGTGGTCAAGCTTGCAAACAAGATTATTATTCCACCAAATCTGGATATCGTCCCTGACAAAATTGTTTATTCAACACATGATCCATATTTCAAGGTAAAAGAATACTTACTCCATAGTTGCTAGTAAAACATTTACAACTTTGTTGATCATGTTCACTTTTGAATATACATAGGATTGCATTGGAGCTATAGATGGAGTGCATATTGATGAATCTATTTCTAATGCTAAACAAATTCCATATCTAGGGCAAAAGACGACAACAACAACTCAAAATGTGGTGTGTATGCTCCTTCAATATGCTTTTTACCTTTGTAATGGCTGGATGGGAGGGCACGACAAATGATGCTATAATTCTTAGTGAAACATTTTCAAATCCAATAACAAGTTTCCAATGCCACCACGAGGTACTTATCATTGTTTGTACACAAATAAATCTCATATTATAATACACTAATTGACTTGCTATATACAGTGTAGGTAAATATTATGTTGTTGACTCCGAATTTGCTAAAATGCTTGGGTTCCTAACACCATATCGAACAAAGAAGTCTGCTCATTTTTCAAGAAATCAATCGAGGTGGTGGACCCAAAACTTGTAAGCAACTATTCAACTATTTTCACTCTTCCTTACGTAATGTCATCAAACGTTGCATCGGAGTTTTGAAGGTTACGTTCCCACTTCTGAAACATATGCCTTCTTTTTCACTAAAGAGACAAGCACAAATTGTTATTGTTGCCTGTGTTCTACATAACTTCATTAGAATTCACTCTTGTGAAGATGTCCTATTTGAAGAATATCAGAATTATTATATGGTGGAGGGCGTTAACAGAGTGCAAGGAGGACTAGAAAGAGAAGTGATACGGTATCCCAATCCCTTAAGGGGCATAACCCCTAGTTATGCCCTAGATAATGGCACTATGAAGAAAGAAGACAAAATAGCCTAAAGAGACAAGATCAAAGGACAAGGCCAGCCACCTAACATCAGCAAGGACAAAGTACAACTGTACAAGGGGACACCCTCTTTTAGAAAGTACAATGTACAGTGACAGAAGGTCTGAGGCGCCAGACCACAACATTTATGACTTGGCAGGCGCCTAGACCACGACCTAACCTCTATACTTGTATAAATAGGAGGTCTCTCCTCATAAATGATAATCTATCTACACTTTACTCCAACTTCTCTCTACTTTCTCTCTCTATACATCTCTTTTTCTACATCTTTTGAGACGGAATGCCTGCCTCCTCAAGGTCATGCCTAACGCCCCAAACCCCTTGGACTCGAGTGACCCCTAGTCGCTTGGGCTCAAACAATTGGCGCCCACCATGGGGCTAAGCATGACTTCGAAAGACGCTTCCATCTCGAGGAAGGGAGAAGAGAAGAATGTGATACAAACAAAGACCCCTCTTAAGCAAGTTGTTGGTTGGGAAGCACTCAACCCTCAACCACTTACCATTCAAGGCTTAGAACCATCTAATGATGACGACCTACTAGAAAGTGAAGGAGACGCGAAGCGCCTAAGACGCCAATTGGCGAAGTTCCAAGAAGCAAACACTCCAAATGGCAAGCATGCAAGGACAACTGGACCAAGTAATGACAGCTCTATCAACGTTGACAAAGGGGCACGATCACGCGTCCCCTAATCCCCAAGAAACCCAAGATGAGAGGAGGCACCTCAAAGGAAAAATGCATGATGGGGAAGTGGCACCCACGAACTCCCCGCTAGAAGCCTCGGGCGCTTGACAAGAGGAAAAAGCGTTGGAAGCTGACGACGTAGCCTTCCTAGAAAGATATATTCGACCTAACTTTGGCACCCCAGAGGAGGGAGGCACCCATATCAAAGTCCATAGGAGGAGCTCGAAGAATGTGATGCTTCTACTCTCGCTCCAACTTCGAAAGAGGAAAGTCCTTAGCCCACTCCTCGTCTGATCGCTCACTCTAGAAGATCGACAATGGCGCCTTCGTCGGAGAGTGCCAAGTACCGGGGTGTGGCCTAATGAAGAAGTGGGAGCAATACCACTTGCTAGGAAGCTTAGGTGAACCCTTCCAAACCTTACCATGATACTTGTTGTCTCGCTTCAAAGTAGTCCAACCATGTTTCCCCTTTTCCAAAACGTATATGCTTGAGAAAATAGGGAACGAGGGCTTGTAGCCTAGGCGCTTGCAAATCAACCGAATGCGCAAGCATGAAAAATCAACGAGAGAGACAAGAAGCTCGGTGAGCACCCAACCATCTCTAAAATGCTCGACAAGATAGGATCTAGTGGGAACTTCAAGCCACACTTTAAATAATCTGCTGATGACTCGATATTTGCACATGTTTTCCCCTTTGTTTCTTGATCGTTTAAGCTTGCATTATCGCTTCTTTGGCCTATTTTACGCTAGGTTGTGTTCCTTTGTCATATTTCAGGCCCTAGCAAATAAAGTGAAGCATAGGCGCAAGTTTCAAGTCAATCAGAGATCAATTGGCGATTAGGGAGAAGAAACACGAGCATGACCTGAAGAAGAATGGATTTATACCTCACTTTATGGACAAGGAATCATGGAAGTTTGTTATGAAAAGAAAGAGGACGAGACTACGAGCGTCTGGGTTCAAACGGCGACTGATTCGGAGTCCGGACGAGGGAGAAACGAAGCTTTGAACAGGGGTGGAGGAAGAATTACGGGCAGGAGAATTACGACCGTAATTTCCCCTCCCATGCCCGTAATTTCACTGCCGAGAGGAGCTTTGGGTGCGCTGAAACTTAACCAAAATGCGTGTTTTGGGCAAAATACGAGCATGGAAGAATTACGACCGTAATTCAGCCCGTAATTCGCCCAGAATCGGGTTTTTAAGGCAGATTAGAGCCAAAGGAAAGGGAGAGCTGGGTTTTTGGATCCCAAACACCCAAGGGACGAACCCTAGAGAGAGAGAGCGACTTGGGAACATTCTTGGAGCTATTTTGGAGGATTTCTTCGCCATTGGAGCTCGGGAATCAAGCTTGGAGATGGAGATTGAAGATCTAGATCAGATTTCTGCAGTCTCTCTCTTCTCTATGGAGTAACTTCCCTTCACTTAGGTTTTGAGGAACCTTAGTTCCATGAGTTAGGATCTTTCTTGTATGAAGTTTTGGATACTATATTGTTTGATTATAATCGAATGATGCATGTTTATTGAGTCAATTGAAGTCGGATCAACTTTTCCTGATTCCTGCTGCAATCTGAGATAGATAGAATCTGATTAGGTTGCTAGAGTCTCATCATTCGGTAGTAGGAGATTGGCTATACGAGAGTTAGCCAGTTTACTGCCTTGTACTGGAATCCAATCCAGTAGTGGAGTTCTGTTCTTACTGCTTCAGCTTTCTATCCCGGTGAAGACTAGTCGTCTGCCGGATAGTTAGACTGAGAGGGCTTGGTCAGCTTAAGAGATTCCAAGCTACTAACGGATCTTCCGCAGTCTAATCAACAATAAATCAACCAAAAGGAATTACAACTTGGACCTAATTGAGGAGCTAGGGGGAATCATACCTAAGTGAGTTCCCAAACTGTAATTAGTACTTTTACTTAGTTTAGTTAGTAGAGTAGTTTAGTTAATCAATCCTTAATCTAGTTTGCTAGATAATAAACTGAAGCTGAGTAATAGTAACTCTAGAGACCCGTGGATTCGATATTTATCACTTGAGCCACTATACTGCAGTCCCTTCCATTGGTTACACTTGGCCATTGTTAGGTGTTGTGTTTTAGAGCATAAAGTTTTTGGCGCCGTTGCCGGGGACTTTCTAGATTATTAGGAAAGGCAGAAGTTTGTTACTTTAGCGTTTTTCTTTTCTTTTCCACCCTTGCTTTTCACTTGGGTGTTTTTTGTTTTTTGTTTTTGTTGGTGCAGATCTGAATCATGGATCCGCATGGCTTCTCCAACCAGTGGGGGTATCCACCACCATCCGAGTGGTATTACCCCGAGACTCCCTGGAGAAATCAAGGAGGAGAAGACTATGGATTCGGGTTCCAGTACCAACCCCCTTTCTACGGAGAAAAACCAGACCCCTGGGCATATCAAGAACAACCTCATTACCAAGAAGACTTTCTCCCACAACCAGAAGGGCCGTCGGAGCTGGAGTTACCCATGGCGGCCTTCACGGGCCACTCTGCAGAGCCATGCTACACTTTACTGGAAGATCCGAACAAACAATTAAGGCTTCTCGTGGAGCAGTTTGCTCGAGACACTAAGAGATCATGCTCCAAGATGGATCTTCAAATCAAAGCCCTTGCTGCTTCCGATCCCTCATTTGTCCATGATATGGAGGAGATTGTTCAGCGCTCAGCGAAGCAAACAGAGTGGGTGGAGCAAGTTTGCTCACATCTTGCTCAAGATCACCTTTCTGCTACCACGCTAGAAGAGGTGGAGGATGACAAAGGCTATGGGGATGTTGAGGAGCATACATAAGTTATCACAGAGAACTCCCATGATAATCATGATCAGGAAAGTCCTCTGGTTGTAGATCACACAATTCCTTATTTCTGCTCTAACATGCCGGGCCCGAGCGAGGAGATGCAAGATGATCTCATTGAAGAAATTACATGGCGACTTGCTCTCCAATCTGTGCTAGAAGAAGAAGAGCAAGAAAGGGTGCAGAAAGAAGTTGTGGAGGATGAAGAAAGTGAAGCAGGAGGAGTTTTTGATCATTTCCTAGGGGTGATACCACATGAAGAAGAAAGGGGGGTTGAAGAAGCAATTGGCGTCCAAGCTGAGAATGGAGTTAAGGTGGAAGAGGCCTGCACCGGCCATGAGTTGCAAGTGATATCCCCACCAAACTTTGAGGAACTGCTTAGCAAGGACCCATTTGCAGTGTCTCTTTGCCAAACCAAGGCCACATCAACATCGGTCCCTCTTGGTGGACGCGATGGTGGCCAATCGATGCTGTCATATCTGGTTTGGGGCAATGAGACGAGAGAAGAGAAGAAGAGGTCTCGAGGGTGGAGACTTCATCTGCATCAAGTACATGAGCCTTCATCACCTGCCACACCACATGCTCGTGACTTGAGACTCCACCTCATCGACGAGAACCTCAACTTCAAGGAGGTTCTAGCATGGACCGAAACTTAGGAGCCATCGTCCGGCTCACGACGTGAAAGAAGCGCTTGTTGGGAGGCAACCCAACCAGTCGGTTTGCATTTCTTTCTCTATTTCTCCTCGGTTGAGTCAGTTTTGTTTTTGATTTTAGAGTCAATAACTCAACCTTTGTGAGATTTTGTGTGGTGTTTGTGGTCTGACCACTCTCTCCTCCTGGAATACACCGCCTGCCCCGTCCACCATCATTCACCCTGGATCTGGTAACTTCGTTCTACCCACCTTATCTTTCCTCCATTGAGGACAATGTCGTGCTTAAGTGTGGGGGGATGTTCGATTATGTATGCGGGTGAATGTTTGGCTGTTTGTGTGCTTGGAGCCTAGTCCACTGTCCAAATTTTTAAATTTGAGGGCTCCAAGTACGTGTTTCCTTGCAAATTGCCTGCTCAGTATGCTTTGAATTGACAGTCTCTATATTAATGTGCAACCTAGGGAGGTAGTGTAGCACTATGGAGGATGTTGAAGTATAAGATTTTTCCTATCTAGCTCTCTGCTGTGCCAGTTGATTTTGTGAATTAGTGGAGCTAAGACCGTTGAATTCATGTGGTAATGGTGACTATGTTTGGATTGTGTTATGGACTCGTGTATCGAACAGGGTGCTCATGTGAAAAATGAAAAGCAGTTGGTCCTCCATGTCAAAATCATAAAATCTTAAACATGGGGTAAGCCCAACGTGTGCGGCACCGTTCATTGCACAAAAATCGGGTTTTGGAAGAGATTTTAGTGATCCTTAGTGGGGTACTCCTACAAGGTGAAGCTAAGCTGTCTCTAGTACAAGTAAAATTTTCACCCGTTGAACGGTTTGCCTACTTGAGGATGTGTTTTTAAGGGCACGGATAGAGCTTCCGACCCCCCTTGATTTCATTGACCCTCCACACGAGTTGAGGAAAAGGAGTTAAAAGAATTACTCTGGCGAGCGCTAGATGTACAAAAATTGCTCTTGCTCGACTAATAAGGGTCGACCGTGCAAAAGACTGCAGTTGGAACCCCCGCCAAGTGAATGAAAATGAAAAAAAGTAAAATGAAAGTGAAAAAGGGGTTCCAACGGTGAAATGAAGTGAAAGAGCACCCTGGTACAACGAGTCCTTGGTAGTGAATGGTGTGAGTCCCTTTATCCATGAACTGACTGTCTTACTTCTACTTCTTCTCATGATCCTGGCTTGAGTCTAGTACTCGCATTGAGAGAGATAGGGAACGTCTTAGAAGACCAGTTGACCTCGTAAGCTGCTATATGATCTAGGAAATCCTCTACCGACGATCGAGGTTGTATGTTGATATAGAGGTCTGGAGAGCTGCATTGGTTTGAGTTAGGTTTGCTTGGGGACAAGCAAACGGTTAAGTGTGGGGGAATTTGATGACTCGATATTTGCACATGTTTTCCCCTTTGTTTCTTGATCGTTTAAGCTTGCATTATCGCTTCTTTGGCCTATTTTACGCTAGGTTGTGTTCCTTTGTCACATTTCAGGCCCTAGCAAATAAAGTGAAGCATAGGCGCAAGTTTCAAGTCAATCAGAGATCAATTGGCGATTAGGGAGA